ATAACATCTTTATGCGACTGTAGATCAAAGATACTAAAGCGCCTGTGCTGTAGGCGCTACGCGGCGCTATAGAATCTTTGCTATAGATGTAATTTGCAACTTAATCTGCATGCGATTTTAAGTGTTTATAGTGTATTTTGAGTAATTCTGGGGGAATTCGGCAGATTTTTTGATGAATCTAACAGATTTTTGAATTGCATTTAGCAGAATTTGGCAATGACCTTATGGTCACCCAGTTGCTCATGCGGCGCTAATCAGAAACCACTGCCTCTTGGCCGCCACGCCCATAAGTCGTGAGTGCAATAATTTTATAAGAAATGCTGCAAACCTCGGAACTGGTAAAGGGCAATTAATCAATGGTATGGTTAAAAAAAACCCACCACAAATCATCTAGTAATCGTTAAACGGAAACTAGTGGCTAGGAACACCTGCCAATCCATTCAAATAGGATACCGACTACAGCCGGCAGGGTTTTTAACCGACGACCTCCAGAACACCGAACCGTCCGAAGGGTACCGTTTCAATTTTTCGGGCGCTTAAAAATGACGCAAAAAGCACAATTGATATAGTAATATTAGTCTTAAAGACTGTGCAAGAATGTAGTATTGTATGATGTGTTACATTAATGAAGCTTTTCCGAACATATTATTTTCGAATATACCTAATAAAGAAGACAATTAAAAAAAAAAACCCAGTTGGAAATGCATACAAAAACATTGGGGTATCAGGTGCGAATCCAGGCCCCCCCCCCCTCTTACCTGCACCGACACCCCTCCCCATAATTATTACAATTAGACTAATAATAAATACGTATTATGTTCGCCTGTCCGCAACACTCGGGACACAAGAGGCGTAGCCACTGGGGTAAGGGTTTTTTTGCACACTATTGTGCGATAGTGTGCATGATCGTCGGATTTTGAACAGCGCCCCCATTGTAACACCTGCAAATCTATCGTGTTTAACACCTTCCAATCTACCCCCCCCCCCCCCCTTTGATTTTACGGAGACAAAGTGGTCGGAGAAAATAAAGCTGTCTATATTTCAGCACTGATTTGCTGATTAAAAAAAACTGACGGGCCTGAACCCCCCCCCCTTCCGTGCAAAAATCCGCCCCTGGGTATACGGTGCCAATGCGCACGTACGAAAATGACCACGATTCCGAACAAATCTTGCTTCGACCTCGGGTGCGGGTTAAAAATAAAATGGATGTCACATGAATGATTTTATGATATCGATCCTTCAGCGTCGTCGATCATTCGTTTAAAGCCCGTCGAGGTCAGATTGTAACGGCAAAGGGAGGGTATCGATTTAAGCTGGGAAATTGGACATTTGTGGGGACTGGGTAGAACTTTTTGGTGCTTTTCAAAAAAAGAAATTTGTAAAAAGTGAGATTTTCTCTCCGGCCATTGCATGTAATGAAATGTATCATACAAGCTATGCTTTTTAAAGTTTTGTCAGCTCTAATGGATTTTATGTTTCTCGCCATGAATTTTCCCCAAAGTCATGAAGTCGTGAAGGAGGGAATGAAAACAGTTTACGCTTTGGGACGAAAGGGATATTTGGGTACTAGTATTTGTGCTTTACTACTGCTCTGTTGCAGTGAAACACAAAACAGTATTTTTAAATCAGGAGTACAAAAAATGAACGCTTGAGAAAGATGCACACTGAGCAATACTGTAGACTCAATAATATTATTGTGTGCATGTATTGGTACTCACTTGTATAAAGTTATTCTGATTACAATTTATTTCTCATTCACATTTCGAAATTTTAATGAATAATTTTTTCTGATCAACACAATATTATTGATGTTTTATGAGAGAAATGGGCTGGAAGTAACACAAGGGCGGATCCAGAACACACTTTTTTTGGGGGGGGGGCAAGAAAAAAATTTGGTACCCCAAACAGTGGGCCAAAAAAGTACGGCGTGGGGTTTGGGGCACGCTTATTAAGGGCCCCGAAATTTGTTGGATTCTAGATGATCTGCGCGCGTTGCGATCTGCGGCAATTTCTGACCACTTTAACCTTTTTTTCAGGAAAAGATGGTAGTGTACACAGTGCCTGCCTTTATATATGATTTTTTTTTGGGGGGGGGGGCATGGCCCCCGTTGCCCCCCCCCCCCGGATCCGCCCTCGATAAGTGCGCAATAAGGCACGGACGGCTAAACTACTACTCCCATACCAAACCAACATGGGGCCCCTTTTTCTCCAAGGTCTAACCAACCGCAACTGAATTCAAGACAGGCTGAGCCATCTCCAGCAAATGACTTGGCCTTGAGACATAGGCTGAGCATTTATATAGATCCACCTAACATTCATGGTTATCTTTGGAATCATTCGTGGTTTTCCACGAAATGGTGGACTAAAGCCGACGCAGACTGACACATTGTTTCCCGCCTTTTTTTCAGGTGCCATGTCTGTCTAATGCTGTCTACTGTCTGGGGTATGAAGAGGTCGGCGAGGGCAATGTTCAAGAGGTCAGTGACCCCGAAGTTAATGCATACCTGTCTGTTGGATAAATATGGACACAACATAAAGATGGGGTCGTGAGTTGACTTACGTGACCACACGAAAACAATTCAAGGACTTTCAATTAAAATATCGACACAGAGCCGCTTCCAATCAAACTTTAATTCCGATACCATGTGAGTGCGTGTCCATGATTATGTGGGTACATTTCAGACATTTTCACATTTCGTAATAGAAACTGAAGGAGCATCAAGCTTCTTCTCAATTAAAATTAAGGATCTCGGCAAGTCATAATCTACCCAAATTTGAATTAGGTGCATATGTATAAGTCCTTGGCAAGTTTTAGATCTCAAAAGTGGCCTATACTATAGCCACTGATAATGAGTACATTTAAGTAATTCGTCTTGAGTTGGTCAAGATTTCGTTGACAGGAATTTTACTGGACTTTCTTTAAAATTAATGATAAAAAAACATGTAATAGCTTACTTTGAAAACAGCTGTTTGCGTATTTATTCAATTAAAAAGGCGCACCAAAAACAAACAAACAATCAAAGCAACTTTAAACAAGCCTTATTTCAATATAGACATTTTTATCTTATTTTATAGTTTGATGAGTTTTTCTTGTTATCAAGTTGTACTTAAATTAAATAAATAAACGGTATCAACGTGCAAATACCAAATGTCAAATTAGAGGACACCCCTCTTATTGAGATAGTGGTGCAATCCAACCCCCAAAAAATGAAAAATTAAAGATTAGAACGTATAATTATATCATTACTGCATGGTTATGATCAAAATCAATTTGAAAGGAAACAAATAAATTATTCAGAGAACAGAAAGTTTTCCATAAAAAAGAAATGTTCAAAAAGAAACTAAATGCAATAACTTTCGAAATAAAAACAAAAATTATTCCATAAAAAGTGGAATTAAAAAATAATAATAATAAATAAATGCATTAAGTTTTGAAGATTAAAAGTGTAAAATATTCAGCAAACGGAAGGTTTTACTTCCATAAAAAATGAAAAGAACTGTTCAAAAACGAAATGAATGCTTGCACTTTCGAAATGTAAAAATCAAAAAGTATAAAGCGAATTTTCAAACAAAAAACTAAAGATTTACGTCCATTAAACAAAAAAAAGATAAAACAAATATAAGGATAATGAATGTACGAACTTAAACTACAATTCATAAATTATTACATGGATTTCTATTAAATTTCAAACAAAGCCGGGAGCCGGGGGGGGTGGTTTGACTTTAGAAATATCCATGGGCATCAATCGGTAAGGGAAGGGGGAAATTCCCCCTTCCCCTCTTTTGAAAGTGTTGAATGCATGTGTTCAATGCATTGACACCGGAAATTACATTGATTGCTTCAAGTGCACCATGAACTCTCCTGTAGGGATGGGCGCCCGACCAGAATGATTCAGCTTGCATTACATAATACTGGCCTAGTCATAATCTGGTCCTCTGCTGTAACTGTTATTCACAGATGGGGTTTTGTGGTTGGTACCAGGGAGGACCAGCTGATAATCCCCTTTGTATCTGACTGACCGACTGACTGATTCACTAATGACTGTAACTTGTGAATTAGACTTGATTAAGTCTCACTTTGGCCCCAGAATTTGAAAGCTTATAATCCCCTTTGTATCTGACTGACGACTCATTGATGATTGTAACTTGTCATTTAGACTTGATTAAGTCTCACCTTGGCCCCAAAATTTGAAAGCTTATAATCCCCTTTGTATCTGACTGACAGACTGACTGACACACTGATGACTGTAACTTGTCAATTAGACTTGCTTAGGTCTCACTTTGATCCCAAAATTTGAAAGCTTATAATCCCCTTTGTATCTGACTGACAAACTGACAGACTCACTGATAACTGTCACTTGCAAATTAGACTTGATTAAGTCGCACCTCGGCCCAAAAATTTGAAAAACGGATTACCCTGTATTAATGCCAATCAATGGGCTATAAACTCCAGCCACCCACTGTGTAGACCGTGTGCATGAAAAGACTTCGGGTGAGTAGCCATTGTGAATCAATTCGGATGATTCACAATGTAGTGCGCCACCAAGAGTTTGCCACGGAGAGTTCATTTTTCCCAGTGCATTGTGGGAGATGGTCGACAAATTCGCAGCGCGGGACATTTGAAATTGTTAGTTTTTCCGGCCAGAAAGTTCGTAAGCGTACGATTCGAGTATCTGTTTGCCCTTTTCTTTTCGTTTTATCAATATGGAGTTTTTTGTAAGGCGGCAGAACGCTTTGCCCCAATCTATAACAAATTAGCTCAAGTTTTCTACTGACACTCGTTCAAATAGGCCATGTTTTGTCGACCGTGACCTTGAAAAACGAACTCTCCGTGGCAAACTCTTGGTGGCGCACTGCATTGTGAATCGCCCGAATTGAATAGCATTTCATGCACTCTGGGACCAGCTTTGCTGGGCTTGCCTCGTCTTGTTTTTGTAGTAAAAGGGCAGCACTCTTTTTACTTTATTTATTCACTCCATTTCTTCACCCAGGGTTTGCCCAAACAGTTCAAAACTGGTTTCCATTGAGGCCCGGCAAACTATGGTATCAGATGATCATGCACAAACCTTGACCAAACTTAAGTTGTACAGTATGTGTCATTGAGAACAGTGCATACACAGGGTACTTTTAGGGAGCCAATTTACGATACTGTTCCTCCCTATTTATGCTCACAATAAAATACAGCACGGACAGTGGGCTGTTTGGTTAGCTGTTATGGTGTTACCATAAATAACTATCTAAAAATGGACTGTTTGCTCTCCCTGCAGCTGAGAGCTTAACCAGTTTACATGTACTAGTGTAGTACTCACTCCAACAGATTTCAACAAAACATGCAGTTGGATTTTGAAGGGTTGGGCTAGTTAGGGTTCTTAACAATTTTTGTTCTATAATCGGCGTCTGTAACCCACTGATAAAAAAATGCTGTTTATTTGGGGTTTCCATTGCACACAATCAGATCCACCCTGTGAATAAACTGGTTCCCGATCCCTTCATTATCATTTCTAAAAGAAGTGGGAACCAGTATATCTATGAAAACACAATTAATGTCTGGCCCCAATGTAATTCAAACTATTTACTCCATAATTACGTGAAAAAACACACTTTTTGTTGGTCAATGTCTCATTCAATAGTGCATAACTTGTGTATAGTTAGAATTACCTACCTGAAGTTAAGATCAATATTTCACAGTATTCAGGCTGCATTTAGATTTGTACTTTTACCATAATGAATTTTAAGGGGCAGGAACTGGGGGGGGGGGGGTGAAACTTGTAAAATAGCACAAAAAGTGCATCTTTTAAAGACGTTAAATCCTACTTCAAGTTTAGAGTAATATTTAACAGTATTCAGGCCGCATTTAAGTTTGTACTTTCACCATAACAAATTAGTAAATGTAATCTTGTTGAATTTGGCATGATTAAGGCTAAGGTTTTTAAGTAAGTCAATTTGTAATTTGGCACTGTGCAGCGAAACGGACTCTTCACCTAATAAACTGAATCAAAGTGATCTGATTCAGAGCCTTTGCCTTGAGTTTTTTGGTTAATATTTGTACTGATGTTTAGCTGTCATACCTAATGTCAGACTTGCTTTACCGATGCGTCTGGATTTCTGGGTGCCGTGGATATAACCCCATTGAGTTCGTACTCGGATTGTGGTGAGTCGGCGAACGGCGGAAGAGGCGCGTAAGGCGTCAGGGACGCATAGCACCTGTCGCAGTTGGCGTGGGCAATGGGCGGATAGTGCTGACGGTAGCACATAAACGCGACGCTAAAACCGAGCAGAGAGCCAATCAGAACATCTGCAGAGAAGAAAAACAGCCTCTGATTGGTCAACGTTTCCGAGACAGAGGTTTTGTAAGAGAAGCGACAAAATGCACTTGCCTCTTCTTCGGGAATATGCTGGGTGGAGTTGAGGGGTGTTGCCCCCCCCCCAACCCCCATCAACAAGAATAAAAGAGTGAACATAAAAAGGGGGGAGTGACAACTCTGATACCCTTTACCTAATTAACTTAGGAACTTTCAAACTGTCCAAAGTCTCCATGTTGTGCCCGGGTTCAACACGAAGATCTCGGTAACCCCTTCCATACTAGCAAGAAACAAGTCTGGCACTCTACATGCATAAAATCCAACCATGATCAGAACCAGCGTTGAGAGGCTCCACCTAGGTAGAAAATGTAAAACCTACATCTGACCCGTGTACACCCCAGTGAAGTGTGAACGGTATGCCTTGTCTACCCGTGTTCGACAGGACCCAGTTCCACTAAGGCCAAAGAAAAAAGTCTCCGGTTTCTGGTCTGTGCGCGCCCCCATAGCCATGCGCATCGGCAAAATTAAAAAAAAAAAATTCAAATTAAGATGATGTCTCAAAACTGCCAAACTCACTGGTTTGACTGGAATCCTGCTACTGCACAATTTTAACGTGTTTGTAGATGGGGTTACGATCGAGTATAAGCTTTATGTGGCCTCTCTGGGCTCCAATACATTTTGCACTAAATTTCGTCGGGCACCATTTGCAGACAGTGTTGTAATTTTGTAATTTGTGCGTCTGGAAGCCAGACTGAGGGAGCAATGGTTGTGTATCTGCAACCTGTAAACGCTTTTTAATTATGATTAGCGCAATATGTAAGGGAGCAGACTAATGACCAGCCTGGTAGCACATGCACGATGTTGATGTCGCTGTATGGTCTGACGTTACCTTTTACAAACATCAGCTGACGTTTGAAAAAAAAAAGTAGGGGAAAAAAAAAAAAACCCGTTGCCGCACCACTTTTGGGGCAAGCTCCATACCGGAAACCGGAGACTTTTTTTTGGCCTAACAGTGGCCCTTTCTTACCTTGCCAGTGATGGTGGTAGTCGGCCGTTCTTGACAAGGCGATCAGCGTGGCTGCCAGCATCGGCGTCCCGGCCAGGCACAACCTCCAGGAGCTCCCTCGTCCCTGGGACTCGAAGCAACGGAGCTTGCCAGCGAGGTAAAGGGCCGTGAAACCCAGTCCCGCAAAGGCAACTGGGAATTTGGAAAGGAAAAAGTGTACGAGATTTATAATCAAGGTATTCAGCTACTTTCTTTCCGCCCACTTTTTGACTTTGGAATTTCTCACTGAGTCCGGGTGGGGTGGGGGTAGGGGGGTATTTACCAGTACCCTTTTGTACACCAGTGCCCTTTTTTTTCACCAGCGAACCCCCCAATATTTTGTAAAGAGTGCCCTTTTGTTTCTTAACACAGGTGCCCTTTTTGTTTTACTAACGGCTTTTTACGAGTGCCCTTTTAGTAATTTTGTGCGCAAGTCGGCAATTGTGCCGGCCAGAAAAGCACCACCGATAGTGCCCAGAATTGTCTGGTTTGAACAGCACCCCCAATAAGGAATTGGTACCTCCCCCCCCCCCCAACACTTTTTGATTTTACCGTGGCCAAGTGACCCGTGGAAAAAACTTTGTCTACTTTGCATCACGGATGGGTGAGTGCCCTTTTTTATGTCTCTCCCCCCCCCCCCCATAAAAATGACCTTGCTACGCCACTGTCCTGAATCTAACAGAAAATCAACAGCTACGGTACAACAAACAGTTGTTTGTTCAACTCTGACATCAAAATGACCTCAAAACACAATTTTCCCACTGTTGGAATTTAGCAATGAATAATACACATTACATATTATAGGAACTCTTTTTCCCCCCAAGGTTTTACAGAGAGGAAGCCTCAACTCTAGGCATGCCTGTCATACCTGGTCAAGGTGGAACGGAGGCCTCAAGTGGTAAACCCTGACATGCTTTAGTAAACTGACCAGGGATCATATTAGCTGGATAATTGCTTGTGAGCGTCAAGTGATGGAGGTATGAAATGTGACTGGCCCGTCTCCCCTGGTGATTCAGTAGGTGTTATGTAAGAGTTTCTGGTCAAGGCTGTTGCCTGTCATAACATAATCCATGGGGTCAGGTTTGGAAGTGCTCAGCCAGGGGCATAGTGAGGAGGATATGACAAGATGCCCCAAAACAAACTGGGCACATCAATAAACTAGAAAGCACTCAGAGAGCCCAAATTAACCTCAGCCAAGGATATCAATTCCCACCATATTGTCAGTACACCCCAAGGAAATACTCGCATAAATGGTGAAGAATCCTTTAAAAGAATCCTGGATCCAGACCCAGATCCGGATCACTTCCAAGATCTAATCAAATTGTTCTTGTACCAAGGACCACCCCTAAAAAGTTTTTCATGCAAATCCGTGAGTTTATCTTGTTATCAGACAAACCAACTAACCAACCAACCAACCAAAATCCGACAAAATCAACAAAAACCAACAAAATCCGATGAAAACATAACCTCCTAGGCGGAGGTAAAAATGGACCTTGCCTACATTTTATATTCCTTTTATCATGTCAATCGGAAAATCAACAAGCAACATCTCCCCTGTAGAAAATGTCTTTGCTATGTCCGTGTAAAGCCATCAAAATTAATATGAAATCTTTCCATTTCATGAAGAGCTTTGTAAAAAAAATGAGAAACTTTGGGCAAAAAATAAAAAAAAGAGGTGAAACTTCAGGTTCATTGAGGTGACTACAGAAAAGATTATACATAAATATTTTTCTACAGCTTCAAGCAGTTTTTTTCAGAACTGCACATTATAGGGAAACTGTCTTGAAATGATCATAGAAAGGAGAATGTTCATCACTACCCATTTTTTTTAAACAGACTCTTTTCTCTCAGAAGTTGACAACTAAACAAGTTCCTGAACATAGAGGGCGCCAGTCACAAAATAACACTCACTGACAAAAGATGCTGAATTGAGGAAATAAACTTTGACTGACAACTGAGGGGGCTGTTTAAGAAAAACACTTCCTCATGAAGAAAAGGCAGCTTGTAACACAAAAATCACATTGTGAGAGAAAGCTTAAAAAAGACTCTAGTTGTTTTACCTGATCAAGATCAACACATCACAATGTTGGAAATGAAAGCTTTTGGTTTTAGCTCATGGGCAAGTTCATTCAAGGCAGAAAAGTGAGCACAAATTTGTGACATCTTCGAAAGTATTCAAACTATTCACTAAATTTCGCTGCAAATGTTTCCAACTTGAAATACAGTTTGCATTCACGTTTGAACCAGCTGTAAAGCCTTCAGTCTGAGTATCACCCGTTATCCATGGAGCCAAGTCTCCTGTATAACGTCTGAAATGTCAAAGCATGCAGATTTACATGATCTCGCGCCTCAGCCAATCAGAGTCGACCTTACTAAATCGTGATGTCATTTCATTCCCAAAAAAAGGACTAAAGCTGTGATTGGTCAATTCGAATGCAGTGTTTTGTAATACAACAACAACCGGGCGCGTGTCATGTAACATAATACAGAGCGCGTGACACAGCCTTTGTTGTGTGTCTATAGGTTGTATTTTTTTATCCATGTCTATAAAGCAAAAACGGTGAATGACCGAAGACGCGATACAGAAAGCGCCCACTGATTTTTTTCAAAATCTAGACGTCAAGATGCGGTTGTCTTGCATAATTAATCAGCGAATCTACTCAAATGTTATAGACCACGGCGAGGTCTATTACATAGACTACTGTAAAGTGAGGATGTTTGAATAGCGTATGCAAATTATAAATAAAAAAGTTAAAAGTAAACTCACAGGAGGAGTGACCACTCGGGAAACTTTTCCTTCCTTCTGTGATGACGTCAGGTTTGCCAGTGCACTTCATGTCAAGGGTGTTCTTACCGTCGGGGAAACAACGCCAGAAAAAGTCTGGTCTCGGCCTATGGAACAAAAACATTTATCAATGACAACAATGGATAGTATCTACATAATTTATTAAAGGGAAATACGGCCTGGAATACACCCAATTGGGCTACAAAATGCAGTTTAAACGAAATGATATTAAATGGAAAGAGTAGAAAAAGTAGAATAAAAACGTCCACACAACCATCCTTTAAAAACTGGGCGTTTTTGTGTCATTCTTGCGAGAACCACGCTAGAACGAATTTCGGGGGTCACAATTTTGTCCCGAAAAATCGAGCTGTTCAGTGCTAGTTGTGATTCCAGCCGCACAATGGTTGCCTTCTGCGGACGTGTAAGAAACAACCTTTGTGTATTGGTGCTGTGTGTAATTTATGTGACACACACAACTGTATTGTACATTGAATGAAAACGACAGGAAAAACATATGCGTACTCCGTTGTTTCCAATGTAAACTAGCTTTTTTTTCATTTCTCTGGAACAGTAAGACATTAAGTTAGTTTTCTTTCAAATAGACCTTTTAAAATGTATAAGTAAACAATCCAAAACATGAAATTTTCTGGGATTTAGGCCGTAACGCCCCTATAGTAACCAGAAATGGAACTTATGAGCAAATAAAATAAATGTAGGAACATACCAAATATTCGATCATCAACTGAATGTTCGAATAACTTTTTGTTGGCTTGCATATTCAAAACAAAAAACTACACACATACACACACGATTGTGATGTTATTTGATCGTAAAGTTGCACCGCTTTATTGTCAGATGCCACTTTTTGTCGATGGTTAACTTTTTGTGTCGACATCTGTTAAGTGTTCCCATCCTTTTAGCAGGTTAAAGGTAAGATACAACATTTGCAAACATCACAAAACAAAATGATCAAATTATCGCGAAATACCTTACTGGATTGTTAGGGAATGACTGTCTAAAGCATCCTGTAAAATCGTGGCTCCTGGTGTGCTGACATTTTCAAGAAAAACGGTATTTTTCCAACGCTGGTCGGCCGACCAGTGTTGGAGAAAACTGGCTAATTTTCAAAAATTGCTCCGAATTTTTCATAATTAGTTATTCCGCATTTTCTTTGCAATTGATTACACACCTGTGAAGAGGTACAAGTCTGCTAGACTGATTCTCTGACCTTACAATTCCCCAAAGTCTATTAATTGCTCCGTTTCATCTTAAGTGGGGTCAGGGAACCAGACTGCAAGAACATGATTGGTTTTCTTAGTTTTTCCAGCGTCTACAAGCCCAAATCGTGAAACCAGTCATTTTAACAATATTTGCTATAACATACTAATCCTCCAAATCCATTTATTTCTGAAAATTGCAGCAAAAGCAAATGTTGTACATTCCCTTTAAAGCCCTTGACAGTTATAACACACTTACTGCAAATCACTCCAGCTGCCCATATCGATCGCCGCACGCACATATTAACTGGCGCACTCTTGCGTGCAACTTTTAACCAGCGCGGCATGCAGTTGAAGCTGGCAGTTTCCAATATCCAAATATTCGGTCAAACGCAGTTTTGAGTAATTGAATACTAAATTATTCGAAAATGGACAGCCCTAAATAAATGTATACTGGTTAATTAGAAAAAAATAGCAAAATTTTCACAACAAATTTTCGTGAATATCCATGTCAGAATTGAACATTGATTTGAATGGAGACAAATATGCTTACCGTCCAACAGTTAATTTGATAGAATTAGTGACCACGCCATTCAGAGCCAGGGCTAACGTAACAGCTGCAATACAATCAATGGAAAGAAAGATCAATAGGGATTTTCAGATATGATTATACAGCAATTAAAAACAAAACGTTTCACGGTGGTATTTTTTAGTCTGTTTGTAGGACAGAACACACAGTCAGTGGGGGGGGGGGGGGGGGGGGTGGGTTAGTGGGGGGGTTCATGGAAGGAGCTTTTTAGTTTGCCCCCTTCCAGAAAATGAAGCCAGCCTAGGTGTCCCCTGGGGCACTTCGAGAACAGGATTGTGTATTCAAGTTGACCTTAGGATAACATTGAGTGCCCTCTTAACTCTTCCTGCAGTTACAATTCGGGCGATTCACAATGCAGTGCGCCACCAAGAGTTTGTCACGGAGAGTTCATTTTTCCCAGTGCATTGTGGGAGATGGTCGACAAATTCGCAGCGCGGGACATTTGAAATTGACAGTTTTTTCGGCCAGAAAGTTCGTAAGCGTACGATTCGAGTATCTGTTTGCCCTTTTCTTTTGTTTTATCACAATGGAGTTTTTTTGTAAGGCGGCAAAACCCCTTGCCCCAATCTATAACAAATTAGCTCAAGTTTTCTACTGACACTCGTTCAAATGGGCCATGTTTTGTGTCGACCGTGACCTTGAAAAACGAACTCTCCGTGGCAAACCCTTGGTGGCGCACTGCATTGGGAATTGCTCGAATTACAAGCCATATCTGAGGTTCACCAACCTTTCACACAGGCCATATGAGCAAAATCCATGTTCCTTTGACCCAGAGAGCTGTCAAAATATGTACACAACCATTGGTGGGTCATTGGAGGGAGAGAAACAAGGCCAAGCCCCCCCCCCATCCCCCCCCCCCCCACCATAATTTTCAGGAAACTTTAATAAAACATTGGGTATCTCCCTCGCAAGCCAAGCCATCAGCTACCCATACCTTTTAGTTTTAATAATCTATAGGGCTCGTTCAATGACGGCCATTTCTGTAGGAGAAGTGCAACTGCGTATTTAAAGCAATCAAGCACGCATTGCTCAGAGTTGAAAATGTTCCAAACTCGCGCGCTTGTTGCTTGAAATGTGTTCGAAATACGACGCAGCCGATGCGCGTTATGCAAGTTGATGCTCAAAATGCCGATGCACGTGGATGGTCTGTAGGAAATGACGTCATGTGAACGAGACATATTAGTATACTGTAACTGTGACCACCAGATCAGCCTATACTGGTTGGGTTGTGTCTACATGTTGTATCTTAGTTTGGCTTGTTAAAAAAACACTTTCAGTTTTGTGTAAAAGAGAATATAAACGTTCATATTATTGGACATTGGGTCCTGGAACAGCCCAATTGGGCTACAAAACGCGCTTTGACAAGATGATGTTATTCGGAAAGAACATTTAAAAGTAGGATATAACCATCCACACAACTATCCTTTAAAAACTTGGCGTTTTTGTGTTATTCATGTATTATGCGTGCGAAAACGAATTTCGGGGTCCACTTTTGCGACCCCATAAATTCGAGCTGTTTGGATGCTAGTTGCGATTCCATTCGTAAAGTGTCCGCCTTTTGCGGACGTTGAAGAAACCATATTTGTTGCATTGGTGATTGGTCACCACTGTTCCCGAGACACACAACGTCTATATAGTACACTGCATGAGAACGACAACGAAAAACGTATTCGTACTCAGTCGTGTCCGATGTAAACAACCCGTTTTTTTTCGTCTTTTCTCAGAAAACGGTTAGACATTAGGTTGGTTTCCTTTCAACCAGATGTTTGAAATAGGCTAAGTAAACAATCCAAAACATGAAATTTTTGAGGATTTCAGGACCTAGTGCCCCTTTAAATGGCTCTTACCTAAAATAGCCTGCTGTGTGTCCTTTTTATCTGGTTTGAAAATCGCAAACATTGTGATGACTACAGCTGGCACAACGGAAATGATCGTCTGTCAGAAATAAGGGAAAAAAACCTGATTATTAACCATAAATCCCTAGCGTCTTTTACTAGGAACTGGACCAATTCCATCAAAATCCATCAATCACTGTTCGTCCAATACAAAACTGTACATGACAGAATGGAATCCACCACTGACGCACTGGTTGACATTCATGGACTTGCTACACATGGCTTTTATCACAATTGCAGTACAGGAAGCTAGGCAAAATAAAACGGATACCCCTAGCACTGCTTCAGGCCATTAGGCCCAAGTCCATCATACTCCATCAGTATTTAGTCACACCAGGCCTTCTGGACCAAGTCCCCCAAAATCCACCTAAATTGGGGAATGGATTTGATGGAGTTTGGGTGGTTAGGGTTAAAAATATGGTTGCCTGTAACTATTTAAAAACAAAAATATCAAAATTCTTCACTTTAAATTCATGGACACTGTTTGCATATCAAAACCAAAACATCAACCATTTAATCATATGGTGGGCAACTTAATAGTCATTGAAGCTTCAAAGTACAACGTCTTCAGAAGATTGTACAATGGTAGTACGCTTCTGATAAAACATTTTGCATAGAGTTTTGTGGCTAGTTCAAAGTAATCTGAAGCTGCATTCGCATTGTAAAATGTTATCATGATTCCATTGAGGCTATTCTTTTCCGTGCATCAGCATTGGATTAATTTCGGCCAACGGAAAAGTCAGTTGTTAAACATTATCATACTGTACTCTCTCGGAATATTATGAGGGCGCCCTGCGGCTGCGGTACAGTATGCAGCCTGCCTACAGTGAATGGCACGCGTGTGAATTACTGAGGTCAGTATTGGTGACCCACACATAAGTCACATGATCACACTGTAAGTTTTGCATAGTAGTGGCTGTCCGCATGGGACTTTTCAGTGATGTAAAACTAACAATGCAATTCTTCTGCCACCCATTTGGCCCCATAAAAGTGAGCTGAGCATAAAACTTAGTCGACAGTGGACAGTTGACAATGTGAGAAGTTTACCAGCCGTCCGCACTGGACTTGATTTGGTTAAGTTCACAACTGTCTCCATAAGTTTTACCCCCAAAGATCCAAGACTTACGATTAGCTTAAACCCTGCCAAAACGTCTTAGCCTTGTGACCATTAGATCTCTCTCATAGGACGCCATCTTCTTAGGAAAATTACAACTGTGCGCACAGTGTGAAAAATTATCTAAACACGCACGCGTGTTGTTTGAAATTTCTGTGAAATATGACACAGCCGATGCGCGTCACGCACATTGGACGCCCAAAATGCTGATGCACGTGGCAATCTGTAGGAAGTGACGTCATTTGAGAGAGACCTATTGCTGATCTGGAAAAGATCTTGAAAATTATTTATGCCGAGAAATATGACCCCTGCCATCACAATCAAAGCTGGGCAGTCACTTTGAGAAACTTACAAAAAGTGTGCGTGTTGTTGTGTAGCTATTTGTGACTGGATTCCTGTACAACCACATCTCTTCTGGCTGAATGACGCGATGAAATGGTTCCATCTCCTCCGTAACCCTGCAGAGATTTGTAAAAACAAAAAAAATGACGTCCAAAATGCTCAGGAACACAACACAAACATTTGATTTAGCTTAGGGAAAGTAAAACGATTCATCATCAATTCTTGTGCAGTTTATTCGACGAAATCAACTTTGATGGAAATTCTGGTTTTAGATTTTGTCCCTCACTTTTTTTTCATGCTTGGATTGTACAGCCGCCACATGACATAATACCGAACAGTCTAAGAGGTTTTTACTCCACAAACAACGGACACGAAAATAAGTGGCATATTTCATGTATTTAGACACGCTTTAATTCACAATCACAATTGCTAACAAAACGTCATCGTGTCGATATTTTTGTACATGTAGTTGACTAGACAGACATCAACTGTATATTCTTTTTTGCCCTACATGAGAGTCCCAAAACTTAGGTATTGAAAACATGCAATACAAGAAAAAAGACTGGCACCTGAAACAACCAGTCCAACAACCCTTCAGTACTGCATAAAACAACCATGCCAGAAAAACCCATCTGGAATGTCTGGTACTGGTCTCTTTTTCTACACATTTCTTCATAGTCAGCCATCAGACTAACGAAGACGTCAGTCTTTTCAAACAGTTGGACCATGGTTGGACATGTGCCAGTCTAGTCTTTGGCCTCAAATTGATATCAATTGACTTCCATCTCATGTGCAAAATAGTGAAGAAATATCTCCTTTAAAGGGAATGTACATCATTGGCTTTTGCTGTAATTTTCAGAAATGAACTATTTGAGGGGTTAGTATGATTGATCAAATATTGTTACACTGACATTTTTTAAGTTTTGTGTTCGAAAAGGTTGGAAAAAACCAAGAAAAACAAAAATGTTCATGTAGTCTGGTTCTCTGACTCCACAAAAGATAAAATGAATCAATTTATAGATGATGGAAAATTGTAAGGCAAGGGAACCAGTCTAGCTAGCCAGCAGCCGTTCATGAACATGTAACCAATAGCAAACAAAATTTGGACTGAAAAAATGGTAAACTTGGAGCAGTAGTTGAAAAATAGTTAGGTTTTTCCAACGCTGGTCGGCCAACCACCGTTGGAAATGTATACAAAAATACCATTTTCTTGAAAATGACTTCACACCAGGTGCCATAATTTTACAAGATGCTTGAGACTGTCATTTACCAACATCCTAGTAAGGTATTTCGTAAAAACTTGGTAGTTTTATTTTTCGATGTTTGCAAATGTTGTATATTCCCTTTAAAAATTGAATTGAGTCTTCAAACTTGGTCGGTGAAATACCGAGGACCTTGTTTTAGCCTCATGAAAATGTTGGAGAATTGTGTCTGCTAAAGTTGGCCTGATTTTGTTTTACATGTTTTTCAGCACTCGATGTCCCTGTCTGGGTAAGGATACCCTTCTACTTACAGAAATATAGCAGAGAGCGCAATACGCATCAATATCTCAACCATCATGGTGACTGCCGACGGGTTGACTACACACCGCCAGGCCATCACTCAGTTATCGTCAGAGTCGATAAGTAGGGCCTAGACAATTTCTGGCGAAATAGGTAAACTTGTCACAGGAAATGTCTAGTGGATTTTCTGATGGAATTAAACATATGGAATCAAGTGAAAAGTTTAATAGGGTTGAACAGATTGATAAAATTGTTAAAGGCGTTGGTTTGACATTTCTGTAAGCTCTCTGTCGTCAGAACATATTTAGAGTATGTGTATTTCTTAATAACATTTTAAATACTATGTAAGAAATATAAAACATAAAAAGGCAACTATTCTATTTTCAAACAATACATTTGTGGAAGAATTATATGTTCTTTACATGCCAGTCTGGTGGATTTTACATGTCTATGGGGAAAATAAATATGTTCCCACAAAATATATCTCAATCTAACCCAATCGACTGGGGCTATTAAATCTCAATCCAATGTTTATCATTTTCAGTATCTGCAATGAGTAGCCCAATGACTAATTTAATTAATTATCATTTAAGTTCCAATGTACATATGGTCATGATGGTAAAAGTGTAGGCCCCCTAGTTTAGGACACCTCTTTTTTTACTAGTTCCATTTATAAAATAACTTTTGCAATTCCAAATTGACTTTTGCAGAATCAAGTAGACTTTTAATTAAGAATTAGATTATCGCTAGGTTTTAAAATTTTGCTCAGTACTTTGGGAGAAAATGTGACTTGTTTTTTTTTTACCTTTTTACTTTTACTTTAGCAGTTAAACTTGCACGTCTTCAAACTGTCAAACTTATTCAGTTAAATACTGGTACTTTGACATTATTATTAATAAACGATCAATGCTTGCTGTTGAACATTTGTGAACAATATCAGTGTCATGAAATTTAGTCCTAAATTAAAAAAGGATGGGTTCCGGAAATTCGGCACAAAACTATTCCTTTGCTCTGTGGGTATCGCTCCGTACACAAGCTTCAGTCACAGATTCATGACACATGCACACAGTCACTCGCACTGCACTGATTTTACTGTCTTGATTATAATTTCCGTTTGTGTACTACGTATGTCTCCTTAAATTTCGCCTTTATATCGATACATACAATACATTTTGGACTATGAATATGAATATTACAGTATTTGAATAAATATACAGTTGGCCTACTTACAATTTGGAAGAAAACAGACAGAAAATCTTCCACCGGTCCGTCGTTGACAGCTGCCCACGTTTCACATGCCGCTGGTTCGCCTACGTCAACATACTGCAGTGGTCGATGTATTTCGAGAACCAGCGACAAATTCATTATCGTTTGACCCTTAACCCCACCTGCTGACGTTTCCATGTCATCAAGCAACGCTACTCAATTACGGTACATGTGCACCTGTCACCGTTAAGTTCGCCATGCAGTTCACCTGAGCTAACTTCAAAGCCAGTAACTTTTTTTTTTCAATCATGAAATTGTGCTAAAAACGAGTCTGCAAAGGTTAAAATGGTGACATTGCCTTCATTAGAAGCCTACCAAGCAGCGCTGATTTTGTCAGGCACGGGCGACGCACTGGGTCTGGGGTGCAAAAATGGAAGGTTATCCGGTGCCGAAGTCCAACAATCGATGTCTTCAATGGGCGGTGTTGACGCGATCGAAGTCAAGCCACCAAGATGGCCGGTGGGGCAAAACACCGTGCTGCATCTGGTGACGGCCGAGGCCCTGGCCACGGGCCGGACATCCGAGACACTGTGGCCGGAACTGGCCGCCCGGTACGTTGATTGCATGTCGGCGCGAATGATGGCCAACCGGCGGCCGAGCACGAGCCTCCTGCGTGCCACCGCCTTGCTGCGGCCGGCCGAGCCCCAGGGATGGGAGCTACCGTTCGATGACTCCTCCCGTACGGCCGTTGAGGCGTGCCCGGCTGTCCGGTCGGTCTGCATCGGACTTCGCTTCCACAAGCCCAGTCAGCTGGGCTCTCTGATCTCCACGGCCGTTGAGAGTGCCAGGATAACCCATCACCACCCGACGGCCTACCTCGGTGCCGTCACAGCGGCGCTGTTTACATCCTACGCAGCACAGCGCCGCGAGCCTCGGGAGTGGGCCGCCAGCCTCCTCGAGGTCATACCTGAGGTGCTAGGCTATGTCGTCTCGACCGGTCGGGACGTGGACGACAACCAGAGATCGTGGTGCTACTTCGGGGACATATGGAAGGAGTATGTCTCAATACGGGGCATATCGGACGGGGAAAGCGCGCCTAAGTTTCCCCGGAGGTACGGGCCGGATAGACGGGACGAATTGTATCGTCGCTTCGCAGGAAATGACATGGTTGCCGGAAGCTGCGGACATGATGCTCCGCTTATTGCGTAAGTGAATAGCATGGTCTGATATTCTCTACACTCTAAAAAAGCATTAGTCAGATTTGACTAGAAACCAGTTAAATTTGACTAGCCATTCCAGGGTCAGCTGGGTGCAACTGAAAATCAGTCAATCTGACTAAATTTTTGACTATTGACTATAGGAAAAATAGTTATGCAAATAACCGAAATTGGAGTCCAACCCAACTACTTTTTTTTCCTAGTCATAGTAGGCCTATGAAACTTTGTATGTTTAACTAAATTCCTAGTCAATTTTCAATAACTAGGAAAACCAGTCAATATTTTGACTAAGTTGTTTTTAGAGTGTAGTACTAACGAAAACATACTTCATAATTTCGCATTATAAGATTTTATCAAACTTTAAACTGTTTTACGCTATAGAGAAATAGTTCAATATTTCCCTATTGTTTTATCTGTGTTTTAGGACAAAACTGTTAATTTTGCCCCCTCCCAGTTAGTAACTCTTCAAAATAGAAAATACTTTCTGAAGAAAGGACACGAATATAGCTTTAAAAAATGCAAGGGTAGCGGGTCCATTGTGACACAATTGATTTTTTTCATAGAAAATTTATTTCATACTTAACTTTGCCAACAGCATTCAGGCCCAGATTCTAACAGTAAGTGCTTTTCCCATCAAAGATGTAATATCCGTGCTATTTGCGACTTGCGTCTTGAAAAAATATAGTTTTTCAATTTTGTTTTCAAAGTAGAAGTACAAAAGATAGATCTTAACTTTTGAATTAAGATACCGAACGAAAAGAAAGCAAATTAGGTATGAAATAATTACGTTACAAATTTTAAATGATTTGCGGCCGGAAAAGAATTCACAGTCTCCTACGTTACCGAAGGGCGGATCTTTTACAGCCGCAAAAAAAAATCGAAATAAAAGTCATTTTCTGCCGAATGCGAATGGCCAAAGTGGAATAATCAAAATAGTTATTATTCTTTACAAAAAAAACGAAAAGTCTGAAGAACTTTCCAAAGCATTAAAGAGCAACAACAGTTTCGAACTTTGCACACAGTCAAAATTAATACACGTAATACTGCAAAAGATTTAAATCTTCCTTTTATAAATATGTCTCAGATTATTTCTTAAGCATAATTATCTGCAGCTTCCAATGTTGTGTCCGGTCAAACTGAAGACGTTCTGTCTTTTCCAAAAGTCTTTTTCCAAAGTATATAAAGAATAGCCCTTAATTATTGAGTCATCTCTGTTTACGGTTTCAGATACGATGCCTTCTTGTGTTCCAACTCCTGGCAAGATCTTTGCGACCGGGCCATGTTGCACGGCGGCGAGGGCAGCTCCAGCGGGGCTATCGCGGCCGGCTGGTGGGGGCTGATGCACGGTCTGAGCGGCGTGCCGGCAGGCAACCACGCCCGGCTGGAGTTCCGCGACAGACTCGCGGAAGCCGGGACTAAACTCTTCTCCATGAGCTTCTAGTGTGTGCTATAAACAGTGTGAGCATTATGTCAAAAACAGTAAATATTCATGGTTAAGCCTAACAAAAATAATGTGACTGCGGTTTGGTTCAAGGTCCATATCATAATATTTTGAGATAGGGGTTCATTAAATTTGCAAGTCATTCATTTGGACTTTTGTGTGGACTTCGTCAAGTCGGCATGCTTCTCCTTTCTCAGTGAAATACGCTTGTCATCACTGGTCACTTTATTTCTGAGTAAATACCTTTACAATTTTGTTGATTACGAAATTACCGTCATGTTTGTACTCAGTGTTGCAGGAAAAGGAAAATATAAAAAGATGCCAGCAACAAGTTGCTCATTTGGACTGCTTCATAGATTTTCTTAATTCCACCATAAAAATAGAAGAGACTTCAACCGTACTAAGTTCCGCAGAAGTCTAAACAGTGTATTTGCGATAGAAGGGTTACATCCCGCAGTTGTCATAGTTTCTCGTTCTCATTCAAAGTTGATCCAGTTCATTTAAGTCGTATCAAATAAACGCCACTGTAGACCACCTAATGTGAATACATCGCCCGAGTTCACAAAGTAAACTGGTACTTTGAGGTGAGGGCGCCATCACGGAAACTCCCGACTTGATTTTTCTGGCGGGAATGCAGCACCATGACGACGGTAACCGTGACGATGTAGACGACGACCTCGAACGTGCCAAGCCCGACGAGGACCCGCCAGTCGCTGAACACTGTCCACTCAATCAGCCGGAACTGGTCTGGTGGCCTGACGTCTGCCAAATTCTCGGCAGTCAGCGTGTTCCTGCCGAACCTGTGGTCACGTGTGGCGTCGTTAGTGACGTCACCACTGTTGGTGTCCGTCTGTTGACCATCAGGGTTACTCTGCCGTGTTCCGTTCGATCTCGCGTTGCTGGAGTTTGCACAACCGCCATCGACTCGCTGATCCAAAGGCTGTACCTGTTACAAAACAATGTACAAAATGATAGATATGGCCATTCCAGCATAATCATTAATGAATATGCTAATAATGACATGAACTTACGTAACTTTTGCTGAGCATGTCTACACTATCACTCTATTTTCCCACTATAGAAGAGTGGGCGTGAAAATCGGACTCCTGTACCCTATTATTGGTTAAACTCTCTCACGTGACCAGTCACTCTCCTAATTATGGGCATGCGCAATACTACCAGTTCGTAGAATCCTCCACCGGCCTAATTTGATGGGCATGGCTATTTCGAAATTAATTTGCATATTCGTAATCTAACCAATCAAAAGTCAATTCATGTACATGCACATTGTATTGAAGTCAGGAATGATGATGAATTACTGTCAAAGTTTTGTTCGAATCGTCTCTTTTTTCACTTGAAAATAGACATTTTTTTAAAATGTCACTGACTTGTGATAACTTGATTCCAACCTTTTAATACGGGTAAAATGCCCGTGTTGTGATTATAAACCTGATCTGTAAATCCATGAAGATGAGGCCGGCTGGCTAAAGGGACCTGAAGACGATTAGTATGATGTGGTCTGGATCGTTCATAATAACTTCATATTAATGTGACCACCTTAAAGACACTTTCAAAATCCAAAGAATCCAAGACAGATGTATTGACAAATCAATTATTGCTCTTTGATGTGGGATATGACGTTTCGAACACCCGAGGGCGCATATAGCACCCTCGGCTTCACCCCGGGTGCTATGCACCCCTCGGGTGTTCAAAACGTCATATCCCGCATCTATAGCAGTCAACTAATTGTTAAATGTATAACGATTGAGAGAAAAAAAAATCACACAAAAAAATACATCAACCAATTAATTTGATATCGATCTCAGGATAAATATTCCTAAATATATTTATGTCTTCGCACACGACTTGTACTTGTGGATCCCAGTAGGGGGCTTAGGGTTGAAGCCCCGCCCTGAGTTTACTCGATTAGCCCCCTCTTGCCCATTATGTTTAATGAGTCGAATGTCTTGCTATGTAATGTTTAAAGGTCAGTCACCCTCCATCTGATTCATGGCTCCACCCCTATTTTTGGAGTGTTTCCAGGCTGAAAAATCCCTGATATACGTACACTTTCTTGAGGGACGGATGTTTCTCCAGATGGTGTTGTTTGAACTGCGTCCCATTGTTTGCTGTCGGTTGTTGAGTCCCCAGGTTGCCGCGTACCTGCGTGAATAATTATAGGATATCCCTGATCAAAAATTCTCAGCTTAACAGTGCATGCAGTTGAGTCTGTATGCATAAATTACTTTCAGTAGTGTTTTGTTAAATATTAAAGTTGTAATTATTAGCCCGCGCAGGCGACTTCATAAGTAACAAATTTTAATTACCATAACCCTGCCACCTGTTTTTATTTTAACCGCGGCAATTTACAATGCAGGGCGAGTAAAAAAAACCCAGAAAACCAAAATGGTCCGCCCTTATTTTTACAGAATTTCAGCATGTAGCGTTTTTTTTAGTCTAGAATATGATAGCCCAATTAATAGCTTTTTTTTTTAGTGAAAGAATCATTTAAATTGCTCATGTACTTTTCTAGTTATGGAATTTTTAACACAAACACCGTTTATTAACCTTGTCCACTGATCACATTTAAGGTACGTGATATTTTCAGCAGAAATGAAATCGTGTCGTATCCCGAAAATTATATCGGAATAATCACATAAGTCTCCGGGATAGCCAAGCAGAAGGCAGGGCCAGACTATAAACTCTTGACATTATAAAGCATGTTATTTTAACATTGGAAGCAGCAGGGTTTTATATAAATGTTATGATAAGTGCCAGTTATCATGGTCTGATGAGTCTAATGTGTTTTTTGATATGTGAATAATTTTCGTTTTGCTGAAATATCACTTACCTTTATTGTGATCCGTGGACAAGGTTGAAAAACGGTGTTTGTGTTCAGAATTCCATAACTGGAAAAGTGCTTGAGCGATTTGAATGATTCTTTCGCTAAAAGAAAGCTTATGAATTGGCCTGTCATATCCTAGGTCTTTTTTTCTCCACTTTCTCTCGGGTGATAACACACTGAGTACAGTATACAGTGTTTATACGTCGGTGAAGGGCAAAAAAACCTAATTTGATTTACATCACCCCGACGCAAAATTCCATCTTATGAATATCCTAGATCTGGAAAGCGCGCTACGTGCAGAAATTCTTTTAACATAATAGGAAGAACCATTTGGGTTTCCTAATTGTTATCTCACCCTGTAGGCCCCTATAATAAAGCCAAATTGTTATTATCTGCGGACCAGTTTTGGATACATGTTTCGTGAGATGTGTAAAAGGTAAGTCAGAATATCCGGCAAAATCCGTCAAAAGTATTGTTTTGGGTACCATTTTACTATTCATTACCTGCACAATTTGTAACATGTAGGAATGAAGAATACTGAACTCTCGCTTGTGTAAAATCAAGCAACCTGTTGTTAAAATGTTGATAAACCGTTGAATCGGTGATTATGTCTACCACTTACTTCTCGCGTCTGCAGTTCCAAGGAGCACTCCGGTATGGGATGCTACAGTCAACATTATCACGTACTGCATGAGTGTGTTCGCTGCCAGCAGCTGCATGGCTATCAGATGGTTCTGACCCTGCTCCGAGCCTCCAAGGGGGTGGGGCTTAACAGGAGAGCAGCGGAGGAGGCGGTGCCATCGTCAGGACTACAGCTGGCTCCATGGCATGTGATTGGTCGTTGCAGAAAAGACAGCTGTGGGTTGCTAATGCTGGCTCTGAGGGGAGATCAAATTCTTCGTGATTTTATTTCATATTTCAGTTAAAAAGGGAAAAAATCGAGACATCCCTGAAAAAAAACCATCCCGACATCTCAAAGCCATTCGAGACAAAACTGACCAAAAAAGAAATCTCGAGATTGATTGAATGTCACGTGTTCACCCAATGTAAAAAAAAAAAATGTGGAATCATTACATTAAAAAAATACACGCCATTGCAAGAATAAACGTCATCACAAATAGCTCACGACATCGCCCAAAAAATCACTTACTTGGGGAAGAACAGAGGTTTCACAAAAAAGTCACGACATCGCAAATTAACAACAAAAATCATTAACGGGACAACATCGAAAATAAAAAGGAATCACGCAGTTCAAAACTACAACAATCTCAACAAATAAGAACAAATAAAATTACCAAAAATAAGTAATTACAACAAACAATCAGACAAAAAAAGGCTAGGACATCGCGAAATAATTCCAAATTCACTCAGCGGTGCCCCTTTTTTCCAGCATTGTGCATCGCACGCACAAATTATGATGCCTATGGCAGTGAACGTGCGGTTGCTGGAAGCCAAAATGATGATAGATATAGTCATTCTGTTACATCCTGACAACATTAATAACTATTGTACACCAAGCGGCATAAATATAAAAACACCGCTGTGTCATATTCCCCGGGGTAAAATAGGCAGTGGTAAATCATTAAATAATTAATATGTTGCGCTCAATAGATCTTACGGTGCATTAGAACCTACGTGATTCTATGAAAAAGACACAACTTATCATTATCGAATCTGCTCAACAAAGCCTGCGGCAAGAGCATTCACTTATGAAGATATCCACTTACTGAGCTCAATGCTGAATCAATAGAAGATTGACTTTGACCCGACGATCTAAGAATTTTCACTCGCGCGATCGCTACGGTATAGCACAGCGCTATATAATGCTGTCTAGATACACAACGAATTGCGGGAACCGTATTTTACTGCTATTCTGTGAATTAAAAAAATGCTTTGTCAATAATTCATTTTTATGAGGTACTTCTATTTTTAGCACATGTGGGTCACATGCTGTGGAATATATTATGGAATTATAATAATGCTGTCTAGATACACAACGAATTGCGGGAACCGTATTTTACTGCTAATACTGTAAATTTAAAAAAAGAAATGCTTTGTCTATAATTCATTTTTATGAGGAACTTCAATTTTCAGCACATGTGGGTCACATGTTGTGGAATATATTATGGAATTATAATAAGAGATTACAGGCTTATATGATAAGGTATTTGGCATCTCGTCAAGTTTTATACGAATGCATTCCATCCACGAATAGAAAAAAATGCAAGCTGCGTGTGCCGAAAACAATATATATTAATTTGTTGTAAATGAGGGTAAGGCATCGCCCTACAACGCTGAAAAAAAGTCAATGAAATTTTATGACCGATTTTCATTTTTTTAAGATGAAAGTACAAAAAAATATACTAATTTTGTTGTGAATGACAGTAGGGCACCTAACAACGCTGGAAAAAAGTCATTGAAAATGTTATGATCGATTTTCAATTTAAAAAATAGATGAAATTTAAAGTACAACAAGAAATTGAAAATAATTATTTTTAAACATGCATTCTACCAGCAAATTTTAGAAAAAAACTGCAAGCTGCGTTAGCTGAAAACAATGCATTAATTTGTTGTGCGTGACGGTTAAGGCATCTCCTACCAACGCTAAAAACAAAAAATCTATTAACATTTTATACCGATTTTCAATTTAAAAATATATGAAAGTACAAAAAAGTAATAGAAATTGTATTTATGATTTTTAAGATGTGAAATACCTATTTTCGAATATCCAACGAAGCTGCACGGGGTGTCTTGTATATTAGTAATTCAGGATATTCTTAACGTAAATATTTAGATAATATATTCGTCAAAACCGCTGTCATAATGTTATGAGCATCGTGTAGACATACATTAAAATTTCATCAGCGAGGGCATTGGATGACTTCTGAGGGATCAGTGCCCCATTGCCATGACAACCCACGAGTCTTTAGCCCAGCTCCGTTGCTACATACACACTGTATATAACGGCCGTGGGCGCCAGAGTATTTGCAATTCGATTACGAATCGAGAATACAATGCGCAATCATCATACGAATGGCAGGATATGTACGAGCCACTGGATTATTCACGACATAGGCCGACATGGACTCATTCGTATCTTACAGGTATAACCGTTTTGGGAACATTTTGCAAAATATAATTGACGATTTTTTGTTTCCCCGAAGACAAAAATAAAATATACATAATTTATTTCAGCTTTTGATATGCTTATCTTGGTGGATTCCTGTTATTGAACAAAGTGTTGTACATATATTAGCATTATATTAAGTTAAGTCACTGTAGTTTTTAAATTGTTGCATTGGCATTATATTAATGTGTGACAAATGGAAAATAAAACAATAAAACAATAAACAATAATCATTTGGCAGAATAATTAAACGTAACAAAATGCTTAATACTAGGAATTGGAAGAAACAATAGATCGGGTTGGTGAATTGAAGCATTGGAAGAAAAAGGTCGACTGATGATCATTCTACCTAAATTGCTATTTAAGGCAATCATGTTACAGAAAACGAAATACACGGCAAATTAAAAGATAAGTATATAAATAAATGCATTTTGAAAAGGTACTTACCAATTTTGGTTGGGAAGAAACTATCTACCGTATTGGAGCGCCCAAAGCCGTGAATGAAGTCCCAATTTCCTTTTTAAACAATTGTTGAAAATGGGCTTGAACTGCATACTATACATTCCGTACTGGAAATTAACCCTAGTCTTCTTGTTTGCAGATGTATCTAATTTGGTTTCTGTTTGAATTGCAAATAACATTTGTTCACAATCCGTCGGCAGTTCAATATATGTAAAACCTGCCTCACACGAAGCGTGTGACTGCTAATGGTCGAGATGCGGCTCTGAATTTGCGACGTGTAGTTCGTTGCAAACGTACCTTTGTACCTTCTACAACGCCAGACTTTTTAGTATCAATGCGATGTAAGGAGTGAGTATCACCGACGGCAAACCATCAAGCATGCATGTCACGTTCGCACTTTTAGTCTGAGGCATTGGGGATTAAGTTGCAGTTATACAGTTAAACACTCCTTCACTATAACGTGTCGTAGGCCTATGCCCTTTCACAAAGTGTGGCTCGCTATTACCGAAAACACCAAATCTCCAGATACCAGTCTCTTCTCAAGGAACCAAAATACACCAAGCGTTTCACTCAGACCCAGGTACCAGTGGCGTTTCCTTGCATGCCGTGGTCCAAGCATAAACCACGATCATCAGAGACCGCGCCTGTATGACTCCACGGTATATATTACGACCAATAGCAGTTTACCGCGTCGTTGCAGAACACGCTTGTCGTATCCAAATGAGTGTATAATGCAATTTGACTGATATCGACTCCTCCACAGTTAGCATATGGTACCACATGGTAATTGGCCGAATGGTGGTCTACTGGCATTGGCTGGCGTTTTTCGAACGGCTTATAGCTTCTGGTGGCATAATCTACGGCATGATCACACTCACAAAAAACCCCAAACATCTGTCAGCCTGACCTGCATATTCAGAACAATCTCATGCCTGTATGTAATCTTGCGTATGCCCAGACTAATTAGCCCTACCGTGCCCTACTGCATGGTACTCATTAAATCGGGATCATTGTCTACAGTTAAAGAGGCTTTCGCCGCTAATTATCAACACGAGCTGTAATTATACCGAAGGTTAATTACTGCAGTTGGAACCCTGCCCTGCAGTTACAAATGTGAATATATTAGTCAGGCGACGTATGCATGGGCTGACGAATTCATTTAATTCGTACTTATAATAAAGTACAAACAGACAAGGGGTATTATAATAAGAAGTTTTGTTTGAACTTTCATGTGGAAAACGGAGGCAATGAATATTATCGCAGAGACAACATAAATATTGTTTAATCTTTTTATTTTATTTAAAAATGACTGAACGGATGGAGGAAATACGAAACAAATATTCTTACAGACGTTTTAGAAGCTATTTAATAATCTACGCACTTTATACGCTATGGTAACACGCTCGCTATAACTGATACTTGTGCCCGTGCAATTGCCTATGGTTGCAGGCCAGTAAATACGCCCGAAATTACCTACGCTGGCCAAATCACGATTTTGCATGCCCTCAAATTCTCTGCTATTAGAGCATTGTGTGGGCCATGAACTTGAGGGTTTGCAAATGCTCTATTAGAGTATTATATTAAAAAAAGAACGGTGGAAGCCGTGCACAGGACTGCGAGCTCGTATTTCTGTGAAACTCGGATGAAATTGGGCCCCACAAGTTGCTTTATTTCGCAATGGAGCGCAGGCATCATTTTTTTTTCCAAAATGGCGACGGGCTATATACAGGTTACTTCTAGATGGAATTTTCTCACATACGCCATAGGTTAAACCCAAAAATTGAACACAAAATGAAAGACGATGAAATAAGATGTGTGTCTCAAACACCTTGGAGAGCTGTAAGTATTTTCCCCTGATATTCGGAAGTGGGCGTATTTATCACTGGGGCCTATGGCAGTTAATTTACTGGTCTGCAACCTGAAACAGTTCATTTTAAACGCGACTTTTGTGTATTATTTCCTGTACACTGTATTAGTACAAATTGAAATACGAATATTGGTTATAGGTTTCTCAGTTTATCAACTAACTATTTCGAAACTTTCTCTTTATAAAAAAATAAAAATAAAGGACTAAACAGTACCAAGACTGTTGCAGTCACACGAGAGGCTACGGTTATCCATCCTACTTTTTATACTTAAAAATTAAGTTGTTATCAAATAAACAACTTCTCTGCTTCTTACAAAACATAGTCATAATTTATAAGCAATTCACGATTTCACAGCAATCTAAAAGCAAATCGTCACTCTGGTAAGATAAATTGTTATCGTTTATATATTTTTGAACACACTTGTCAGAATCATAGATCCCAGTCAAAACGTCAGATAACGTATCCGAAAATTGTATCCGATGGTTTCTCATGCAATTTAACTCCCATCGATCCAGTGAGCCCTACAATGTTTTTGCTGCCGACATCATTAGCCTATTTGAGATACGTCTGACGCAATTATAGGCGCTATTTAGTTTGGGCAAAAATAGAAAGAGTTTACCCAATCCAAAAAGTGCCCTTATAGTGTCGGCCATGTATCAAAAAGGGCTGATGCATAGTTTCCGGGCTTCTCATGAATCGGCAGGTGTCCTTTTAGTTTTCCTAGCAGGTGCAGCACCGTCGGCTGGTCACCGTTGGGCCTGAGACAAAGACGGCCATGAAATCGCCCTTCTCGACCGAACCTGTCATGATATAGTAAAACTCAGAAAATTGGGAATAAAATTCTCCTGAATAATCTTTAAAGGCACGTATAGGAACAATGGTAATTTAAACCCGGAGAGGAGCAGATCCTGAGAGTACACCATGTTTTCTTTGAGCTTCCGGACCCCTCCGGAATTTTTGACAGAATGATTTCTAGCCGTAAAAATAAAGTGACCCCAGTTCATGAATTTTTCATACAAAGTAATCAAACTTGAAGCACCAATGAAGTATCATTTGGAAGAGCATGTTATTCCACTCGGTATCTAAAAAAAAAAGATTTACGAAAATTGATCCATGCTATCAGAAGTTATACACGTTTTAGAACCTATTTTTCTTGCTGTCCATGGAATGCCACTGGAATGTATTGAGCTAAGTGAGAAAAGCAGAATACACACAGGCATTTCAATACCAATGAGATTTTAATCACTTAAATGAAGACTGAAACATTATTAAACTGTGAGATATTTGTTTCTGAAATATTAATGGCAATTTTGGTATGTTTTCCTTTGCCCCATTCATCGAGGTTGGAAAATGTCCATGTTTTACTGTACTTAATGGCTATATTCATCAGTTCGTTGAACGATAAATGGTCAGTGGTGGACAGGCGAATTTAGGCCTAGGATCTGTTACTCACCCTCGGACCAGTTTTCGGCAGTGCTCGTGTTGGAGTACAGTATCTGCGGCGGTCTTTGCATTGCGCACAAGAAGCCTGGGTCCGTGATGACCATGAGCCACCCCTCGCTGGCACTGTCACAGGGGCTAAGGTTCTTGTTGATCATCCAACGGCGCGTGCCAAAGACGTCCGGGGTATACTCTCTGAGATCGAGAAAAGAAGACACCTAGATAATCCAGTATAAGGCGCTGCAACTGCACATGTGCACATCGGGATACAGCGGCAGCGGAACGGTTTTCAAACTGGGGACATCACCAAAAGGGGGCACTTGCTCAGTAAAAGGCATCTTCCGTCGGTGCAGCAGCGTATCCACCATTTTCTTTTTGGCACATCCGTGCTGAAATGTCGACACTTTTTTTTTCAAATAGTGTGGGCGTGTTCATCTATTAAAACCGTGGACGAAAAATACCACAGAACAAAAGACAGCAATATCGTCCACGATTCCCAGCATACGTCCGCGATTGGGGTCGTGTACAAAACCTATGGGAGTCTTCCTAAAAAGTTTAAGTACAAACAAAAGAGGGACAATAGGACGTCCTCGATCGACGGTGTGAACAGAACTCTCTATAGCATTTTGGGAAATGGTTTACTGAAAACAAATTATCCAAAGATGTTGGGGCAAGTTTTTATTTTCATCTCCAGGGAGCACATTTATGCTGGAGGGGGCACAAACGGGGCACTTGGGTAAATCTGTGCCCCCCCCCCCGGTTCCGCCGCCCCTGTCGGGATACGACACAAGTCTATGGCGGCAATGGCAACAAACTTTGCATTCTGCAATTTGCCACCAAATTAAAAAAAAAAGGCGATTTTTTTTCTAGAAGCTCGTCTGTTGGAGTGCAAATAAGTCCAGTCTTCTTCATTAAAATAATGTCCCGTCATTGGTAGGATTTTTCATATAGGCCTATATGACGCGGATTGTTTTACGATATCAAAATGGTGATGTGTGCACGCGTAGTTCGAAATGTCTCATTGTGTTTATGTGTTCGAGATGTGCTCTGTCTGTTGTGTTTTTAGCGAAACCACGCTTGCTCAGAGCAAAAATGGTTTCACAGGCTATTGAATGCAGCATATCAACAGGCATCTGCGCATTCAAATACCACTGTGTACAACTTGCATCAAATCGCGAAACAATTCAGTATATTTAAAGGCGCCCTCTTGTGCTCATGCAAGGGGATACTTAGGATGCTTCCCAAACCTTGGCTTCGCCTCCAGCTGCGGAATCATTGCTGGCATAGAATGCTTAGAAGGCTTCAATGTTGGAACCCAAACTCAAATATCCCTAACTTTGAGGCCTCACGTTATAGGATTTGATGCTCCCCATGCAGTAACATGGACCTGCAACAAGCCGTGGTTCGCCAAATCTACTGCGGCCAATACACAGACGGAGCCGAAGTTTGGACAACCACTCCATAAATCTGCAAGAGAACTGTAAATGTAATCTGGCTCACCCTTCGATTGAAAAGATGTTGAACTCGCCGGGTCCATTGAGGTCAGTCCACGGTGAGAAGAGGAGCTTCCTCTTGGAGAACCAGTTGAGATTGTCGGTGGAGCGGCCGTCAAAGACGAGTACGATTCTCTCTTCTCCGTCTTTGTAAACAACAAGCTTTACCTTAAAAATTAAGAGTTAAATCCATGAATAACTTTGGTAAGGACTTTGAGAAGATAACACAACGTGAGTGCTGTGATCTGGTACACTTTACCCTGTGGAGACATGTGCATAATAGGGAACAAAAGATATACGTCTCCACAGAGCAATTTCTATAGGTGAATACGTCTCCATAAGGTTGTCACGAAATAGATATATGGATTTTACTCAAAAAGTAGGAATTTCCAAGGTGTGTTGATACGTCGCAAATTGAAGTATATTAAGTAAGGGATATTAAATCCGAATTTCAGCCCAGGAAATTAATTATAGGTAAAAAAGGAGCATTTTGAAATTACACTTTCAAACTCGAAATCATTAGTACACGAGAACAAAGAAATGACTCTACAAGGATATAAATTCCAGTATGTGTGTTAACGGAACAAGTAAGTTTTGGGACTACACACGAGTTGTCCCATGGTACTATGGGGACCGAAGACGCTATGGGGACGGCAGAAAGTCCCCATAACTCGGTCCTAATTGGCCCCAACAATAAAAACATCCCCATAACGCGGTGGCGGCCCGCCCACTAGTTTTGACAATTAAAGGAGTACCAAGCTTCTTGAAGTTTTGAGGTTTTAAAAGTTTCAAAAAAGAAAATATGGTCCGCTTGGGAGTAAAAACATTTCACTTTTTTGAGACTTGCGAAACGGATAATGAAGCAAAGCAGTTTCCTCGGGAGGATAGCTTTACGGTACTGAAACAATTTTCGAAACCACGTGTTGAATTCTATGACATAATACGGTTTGAGTTGTTCCTCCCAGATTCACAAACTGTGGCCATATCCTGTATTAAATGCTGGCCGATGTCTGTCTGTCTGCCTATCTATCTTGATGTCTGTCTGTCTGTCTGTCTGTCTGATGTCTGTCTGATGTCTGTGTGTCACATTTATTTTGGTTAAAGGCAATAGTGGGCGCAAGCGAAAAGTACAACGATTATTGAATATAGGTTCTTACAAAGTGTACATGTCCTGATTTCACTGTCCTCTGCAGTCATGGTTGCCATGTAACAAAATAATTTGTTTGATTTGTTTTGCTATATTGGCAAATTTGTTTCTTTCAGATTTTCAATAGTTAAATACTTCAACATTATCTCACTATGAAAACACTCCAACACACTCCAAAACGTATCGCAATTACGCAAAACATAACGTTGATGACGAAAAAGTTTGGCAAAATTGCTTCAGCAAGGTTTACCACGCCCATTGGGGTCAACATGCAAATTGAGGTCAACCAGCTAGCAAGATGCCGCTCAGCGCCCCGCTAGTTCACAAAAAAACACCCAACATTCGTTTGCAAAAATGACACAATGTGAACCATAGTAACGTGAATACAATCAATTCTCATTACCTTATCAATGAGGGACCATCCCCAGACGCCACTGGTCTTGTAGTTGCCAGGGAAAGCGTTGTCCAGTTGGCGCGCGTGCGGAATGTCCGTGTTGACCGAGGAGCGCTGACGCCAGGGCTGCGCGAGGTTTGGTCCCGCCAGGAAGCCGTCCGTCAGCTTGAAGACCAGCTCCCATTGGTCCGGCTCTGGTTGTCAAAAAAACACGGTTTTATTTTCTTACTCCCATGAAAGTTTGTCCATTAGAGTTTGATCTTCACGTGCGTTGCAGTGCGTGTGCTTATTTTAAGGTGCAAACATCGTGTACAAGCATTACATTCACTGTGTGGACTTCCGAACAAAAGAGGTCCACATAAACCAGGTAGCAGCGACGTTGTGTGGACGTACCCACGTCCACACAATGTTTCCCCCTCTCTAGAAAACATTTTGGGGTTAGGTTTATTCGTGGCAAAATGAAGAGAACAACTAAAGGGAATCATAGAAAACAAATTTGGGTTGAAAGAGTTTTCACAGTGCGAGTAAAATGATTTTTTTTTTACAGGTTATCTTAACTACACGAAAACAACAGAATGTCCACACTACGTATGCAACGTAAACATGTATGAGTCGAATGGAGATCTAACGTCATTACGACTCTTCTCGATCTTCCAGAACCGACGCAATATACATTTTTGCGCACAGCTATGCGGCGATGCAATCATCCTTGTAGGAGCAGTGGCTTGGCCCAATTTATTGGCTCTACTTACCGAATAGCGAAATATTTTTCTTACTGTAGCAGAAAATTTGGTGCTTACGCTAAGCGTGTTTCACGGGTTTGCGAGGAATTCTCTACTGTTCACGTACTAGTACTGTCTTAAGTATACAGTGTCTTCCTTTTTATCTTTCGACATCTTTTGTGTGCACGTTTCTCTAGCACTAGACACCTTTTTTTCATGCCATACTGTATTATGAGCCTTGGTGCGAATGGTATGTAGTCAGTTGGTCTTTCTCTGAGTATCGCTTCGAAATATGGCTGCAGTTTACTGTACAAGATTAAAGATAATACGGTTAAAGATTCTGCACTGACCTGTGCAGTATCCAGACGGCTCATCATCGCCCTCTATGGACGGAACCTGGTCCAGTCCATACACAATGTAGTCACCACAGTTCAGAGCCCCGAGATAGATCTTCTCATTGCAACAGCCATCCTTATCTGCAAGTAATACAATCTATGTGTATCTAAAGAAATGTTTCAGGGAAAATGGAGCATAGGTGTAGTCAATCAACTAGAGTATTTCTGTTTATTAAATGTCGAATCAAGAATTGGCCGTAAAAATGACAGCCCGAACCTACGTTCCTTTGAGCAGTACATGTACTCTCACCTCTTAAGCAACTGTCGCCTCTTAATCCGGTTATGGGCGGGATAGTGCCGGCATTGGGAGGGATAGTGCCGGCTTTGGGCGGGATTGTGTCGGCTTTGGACTGGACAGGGCCGGCTCTTGGAGGGATAGTGCCGGCATTGGGAGGGATAGTGCCGTCTTTGGGCGGGATTGTGCCGGCTTTGGGCCGGACAGTGCCGGGATAGTGCCCGCTTTGGACAGGACGGTGCTGGCACTGGGCGGGATAGTGCTGGCTATGTGGGCGGGAAAGTGCCGGCATTGGGAGGGATAGTGCCGGCTTTATACAGGACAATGCCGGCTTTGGGCGAGGCAGTGCCGGCATTAGGAGGGATAGTGCCGGCATTGGGAGGGATAGTGCCGGCTTTGGGCGAGGCAGTGCCGGCATGGGAGGGCTAGTACCGGCTTTGGGCGGGATTGTGCCGGCCTTGGCGGGATAGTGCCGGCTTTGGGCGGGGCAGTGCCGGTTTTGGGCGGGGCAGTGCCGGCTTAAGACAGGACAATGCCGGCTTTGGGCGGGATAGTGCCAAATCAAGAGAAAAATCAGTCTCGCCCAAAGTCGGAACCAAATTTTGGCATGGCTCCGCCCAATGCCGGCACTGTCCTGCTAGATCTGGTACTTTGACGGCACCTTATCACATTTTAAATTGTCAAAAAAATCCAGAAGATAAACTGACAAACAACGTCAAAAATAATTGCATAATACGAGATTAAAGATTTTTCCGAATTTATTTATGTTTGCGTCAATCTTCAAGACCTGCTACAAATCGGGTAATCGCTTTTATCAGGGTTTATTATCAGACGTTTACGTGTTTCCTTTGTCATTTTTAATGAATCAAATAAACCGCGGTTACAAATCTACTACCTGTATTAATACATCCGATCAGCGGTTTACGTTCGCCTGGTTTGCAAGGCAACTTGTCGTCAATCCAAATTGGATTATGTGTCCCACAGTGGTTGACCTCCACACAGCTAGTCGGCATATTCAGGGATGCACCTTTGAAAACAATCCAAAGAATTTGAGTATTAGGCTACAGGAAGTTTGGTCTTACTTGAGGGAATCGCAACTTCAGTCAAGCAACCTTACTCGGGACATAAAACATAATTATTGGATACAAGGAAATGATACAAGAACGGACGTTACTACTACGTGTCGAAAAAAAAATATGCCCTACCTCCTCGATCGTTTGGCGCAACACAAGATCGAGGAAGTGTGCAATGACATCAGGGGTGATCCTGCATTCCTTCAGAAGCTTTCAGCCGCAGCATGCGCCATCCGCCATCCGCCACCGTCTCCAGCGTTGTATTGACAAGTCGAAAGTGGCTGATTCTGAGAAAGCGAGTATTTTTTTCGTCTGGCGTTTAAATCTCACCCTCTAATACACAAAGCTGATGACACTCGCGCCATAACATGTCGTGCCTTGTTTGCATGATCTGAAATTTTGGTTTAATTCCATTGGTAATCAACAGAGTTATTTATATTTAGGATCAAAGCAGGATTGTTTTTTTGGACACGTATAGTACTGGACTGTCTAATTAATACTACGGATACCTTTATTGTCCGTGAACCGGTACCAACCGGGCTGCAGGGTCCTATAGTCGACCGACAGGCCGCTGTAGTGAATCATATCCGCGCTGCGTCGAATGTCCGTTATCACAGTGTGACCGCTCTCACTACATGGGTTGAACAACACTGAAAGAAAAATGGATGTCCAGGAATGTGCTTGACAAGACTGTATTTAGCAATGGCTCGTTCAGGAATCGCCAAAATTGTTATGGAGGCTTTAATCCGTACTTGTTTTTGTATGCAGTGTCCAAAAATGTTTGTTTTCCAACTTTACCCCGTTATGGGATAAATCGTGACCAATGTGCACACACATGAAAAGACCTCCAGTGAACAGCCATTCTGAATTAATACGGGCGATTCACTATAGTGCGCCTCCAAGATTTTGCAGCGCGTTGGCCAATCACAATGCGCAAAATCTGTCGACCCAATGAGCGTTTGGAAAAGGTCGACTGATTTCACGCATTGTGATTGGCCAACGCGTTGCAAACTCTTGGAGGCGCACTATTGTGAATCGCCCGTATTGAAAATAATTCTGTGTGTTCTTGTTAAAGCGTTACCAGGCTTGCTTCGCCTTGTTACATGGTAGTGATTTCACGTTCCTTTGATATACGATAGTTTAAGATGCGGTTGAATATTGTCATTCCCGTGCTTGATTTCACAAATCAAAACGAGCGGTGCACAATTAAATAACCCACTAGTATACATGGGTAATTTTGGCGTCAACTGTTTCAGATTTGCTTAATTGTATCAAAGAACGTTACCTGGAGACTTGATGAAGATGGCCAGAACGTCAGCAGTTTCAACTGGACCTACTCAGAATAAAAACATGTAAGAATACAACAACAAAAAAAGCCGAAAAAAGACGGAACATTAACACACAATTATAAAGTGTACTCTGAACATGTTTATAGGCGGTACGTCCGTGTTTTAGTTATATCAATTAATGGAAGGAAACTTCTTAACAGTGTGCAAGATTCCAGCTCCTCGATCACAACTTTTTGTCCATTTTCGACGGCAAATTCATGAGCAATATCTCATTACAGGAAGCCGAACGCATAACAAAACAGCACAATAAGTGACCAAGTAACGTCGATCGCGTATTCAAAATTCAAACAATAAGTCCCTGAAATCATAACAAGAAAATAAATGGGCTCAAGATTGACAGGCAATAAATATGTGGTGGAACCTTACAGTAAAACAGATTAATGACGGCCAAATTAAATTTGAGCGCGTGTACCTTCCTCCCAGTTGACGGCGGTATCCCGTCCGCTATACACGAAGCCAGGGACGGCGCTCCCCTGCGACAGGCAGTCCTGTTCGCCGTGCGTGACGGCCAGCCAGCCCGCCGACTCCCGGCAGAAATCCGCTGCTCCGTCCCTATCGACATTGTTGATGAAGAACTGTCTGGTGTCTGGACTACAGGAATGGAAGGGTGTTACCACGATCAGTACGTCAACAGACTGAACGGGCCCATGCAATGTAATTGTTTTAATGGAATCCTTGAAAATGCACCTTTGTGTCCCATTTGACCATTTTCAATTTTCTTTGGCCATTTTCAAGGGTATTTTGGTGCCTTTTCTGTTTTTATGCTACTGCGAATTTCCAAATTCATGAGCAAGAGTGTGTTGTCATTTCAGGCAAAAACCTGAATGATACAGATATTTCAACATTTCTTTGGTTATTCGTTGTGTCATTCAGTAGATGGCAGTAAGGCAACGAGCAAGCTTTTCTCACAAATGTTTTCAATGAGCAAACTTTTGGGTTCACAATTCAAACTGAAAACCCCTAAACTGAACAGTGCTTCCCAAAACGACATCACAGGCCAGCAACAGCGCCCTCCGTTGTCCAGAAAAACGCAGACATTTTTAAATGTTTAAAGAAGTGCACTTTTTAATAAAATTAACCAAACAGGGATGTCAAATATATTTTATACATTTAAGAGTAGAATTAAGTTGCACAAAATAAGTTCTTATCAGAAAATCACTTCGTGGTCACTTTAAAGTCTGTTTGATTGTTTTCTGTCTGTTTGGTTGCCGACGACTGTATTTTCGATGATGCAGACTGTTTTTGCAAAATCAGAGTAACATGTTACATCATACATATTTTTTTCACAGACAAGAAATAGCTCTTCATCAAACGTTGACGTCGTTGCATTGATTCTAAGTATATTGTAGACCGTTGGATACTGAATGTTTACGAGTCTTCCTTTCAAAGTATCTTGTAAAATTTCAACCAATTTGTATACAAAGTTCTTCAGGAAACGAAACGCCATGAAACGAAAATGGTATCAGGCATGAATTCAAGACTTAATACAACTTAGTTCGATTCTCGAGATCAGGACCCGTCTGTTTTTTTTTTCACGGGAGACAACTTTCTCGAGGGCAACTGGTGCATATCTGTTCACTGAAATTGCACGCTACATGTCTCCGAGCTCAAAACCTGAAGACACTTTTCATCTAGTATTGGTACTAAACTCATCCCCATCTTACCTTCCCATAGTGAAGTGCGTGTAGCTTGTGTTGGCCGTCATGTCCGTGTAGGGGGTCTCCATGATGCGATCGGGCGAGAACCAGTTGAAGCGGTCCGAGCCGCGCCCGTCGAAGATAAATCGCCGCACCTCCTGGCCTTCTTTGTACAGAGACAGCCGGACCTATATGGGCAGCATTAAAGGTAAGTAACATCATTTGCTTTTCGTGTTAACCCTTTTTTCTTTTTCATTCAAAGAAATACAATTTCTTTGAATTCAACTAACCCGTTGAATTGTCAGCCTGGTGGCTACTACACGAGAACGAAAACAGAGCACGTGTGCATTAATTTGGTATTTTGTAAGAGGATTCCGTTGCAAATGCACGTACATCCATGTACCTGTAAAAAAAAAAAGGAATACTTTCGATCCTAAATAACTCTTTGTTTACGAATGGAATTAAGCCAACATTTCAAATTATGTTAACAAGGCATGACCAATTTTATGGAGCGAGAGTCATCAGTAAGAGGGTGAGATTTAAATTCCATACGAAACAAAATACTTGGTGCTGAGAAGGTATAATATAAGTTACCAAATAAATCTTGAGGATTCCCGAATTAAGGAATTTAACAATTCATCACCCCAAACAATTTGTTTACCGCACCTGTTGCACAAACATCCGGTCCCAGTCGGCCACCAGACTACTCTTGTAATGCTCTTCGAAGTTAATGTCCATCAGTTTAGCCTTATGCTCGTCGGCATTCTGCGATTCATTAGACGCCCAGAGCTCGTAGAGGTTGCCAGGATCGTGGTCTGGTACCGAGACGCCCTTCAGCACCAAATCCCACTCGTCGAAGGCTTCACAAAAGTCAACGAGAAAATCAGAGCATTAAGGCATTTCAAAGATTTCCCCAAACGGTTTTAGCTTTGTTGTAATACGCAAAAATAATACTTAGACCTATCCGATCATTCGAGCTTTGGTAGTGAAACATGATTCACCTCTGCCAAAATCGATTTTGTGAAGCAATGGTGAAAAACATTGGTTTGTCAGAGGGCGCTGGTTGTCTTCACTAAAGGGTCCAGACCAGTAAATATACTGCCATAGACCTCAGTTGTAATTACGCGCACTTTCTCAAAATTGTTTAAAAAATACTCACAACTCTCTGAGGTGTTCAAGACACGCATCAAATAAAAGTTTATTTCATCATCTTTCGTTTTCTGTTAATTTTTTTGGAGGTAATGACTTTTGGGAGAAATTTCCGCCCTAACAAAGACGCCCCTAAAAAAAATCCTGAAGCCCATCGCCATTTTGAATAACGATGCCTACGCTCCATTGCAAAATAGAGCGCATTTAGGGCCCAAATTCATTAAAATTTCACAGAAATACAAGCTCACAGTCCTTTGCACGGCTTCCACCCTTCTTTTTTACAAACCCTCAAGTTCATGGCCCACAAAATGCTCTTATACGGAAGAATTTGAGGGCATGCAATTCGTGATTTGGCCGGCGCATATAGGCAAGTTTGGACCGATTTCCTTTTCTGGACCTTTGAAAGAACGAACTGTATACAAACAATCTGTGTACACGTATACCTGTGCAATATGCAGCGATGAGTGTTGTCTCCAGCTGCGGGAGCCGGTAGATGTAGAAACCACCGCAGTTGCGCACCAACACTTGGATCTTCTCGTTGCAACAACCAGGTTTTTCTATAAAAAAAAACAGATAAAGAAAAAAAAAGACCAACACACAAGGAAAGATGAGCGAATATCCAACCAAATCTCCAAGTACTTGGATAAATTTATATGGTAGCAATACAAGCACAGACAACATGAGGAATAACATTTTGTTCTATCAATGATTGTTTTGCTCAATTTAAACTTGTCAGTATGCGTTTTCTAAATAATTTTTAATTACTCCGTCATTTTTTCGTCAAAAAAAATCATACTCCAGCAGTTCCCTATAGAGACATAGCTAAAAAGTGTCTTGAGTGCCCCTTTAACCCTAGTTGACTCAAATTTCTGGAGGCAAAGACCAGACCCAGGCCAACTATAACACAAGCATAATCGTTAAAGATGACACAGCACCAAACCGATCTGAATAGGCCTTCACAATGAATTGGTATTATTTATTTGATTAAAGGTCCGAATACCTGTATAATTTGATAAAGTTTCAAATAATGTATCTGAATGTCTAATCAGAAGCATGCAGACTGAGAAAAGAATAAAATCTCTGGTAATTACAGACTTGCTATAGGATAACACAAAGGACATTCGAATGGTGTACGCACGGGTATTGATGCACATGGTGCCTTTCACCGTTTCGCCCGATTCTGTACTCGGCACGTCCATGAGCCAGATCGGGTAAAATGTCCCACAAGCGCCAATCGGCTGGCAATAGCGGGTGACTTCCTCGCCTAAAATGGGAAAATAAAGCTGGCATGCTTCAAACTATTGGGACAATAAGAAATTGTAAACAGCAAAGAATATTGATATCAATATGGAAGTGGTTATCACAGAATAATGAAAGCATAACATTCTAAGCGGTTTCAAGAGGAATGATTTTACACAGCTTGCTTGGCACAGTACTGAAATTGAATAAAGCAAGGAACTCGGTCACAATGCCTAAAAAGTCGTTGTGATCAATTGACAATTGTGTAGTGATGCGTGACTAAAATTAAATGAAACTCACAGGGGTTGATGTGGACAAGGTTTAGGAGCATCTGCACAACCAAACATTTCTCTTAATCGACCTCATAGTTTTGTAATAATTTCCAAAATAGACACTTTTTTGGGCACACAATATACCTACCCGCCGGTCCGCTGAAGCGATACCACCCCGGGACCAGCGAGGTATCGTCCACGGTTTCACCGCTGTTCGGCGCGTTCACCCCGCGCTCGGTGTTACTTATCACCTGGTAGCTCTTATCTCTACACACCGGTGCCTCTGGCAAAATGGTAAAATAGTTTAACAGCGTTCACAAACATACATTCCGAAGTTACCAAATGAAAGCAATTGATATTTTACCATGGGAGTCATCTAGCTTTCAGTTCCATGGTGTGGCGATACCTAGGCCTGCACATATTACAGTTAAACGTAATGTAAGACATTTGCTATTGCTGTAATTTTCAGAAATAGACGGATTTAGGGGAAGGTGGATTTAGGGGAAGGTAAATGTAGTTTCACTGTAATGTTAAAGTTTCTTGTTCGTGAATGCCGGGAAAACCTCCACCCCAAAAAAGAAAATATGCTGTTTTTGTTGTCTGATTACCTGACCCGACGCTTATTCAGACGAAATGGAACAATTTATAGACATCAGGGAATGGTGACGGTCCAACCAGGGAGACAAACTAGCCGGACTCATGCTCTTTCATCGACATGTAACCGATTGCAAACAAAATGAGGACTATACCAAATTCGTTAAAAAGTCAGGTTTTTTTGCAGCGATAGATAGCCAACCATTGTTAGAAAGTTGATGATACAAAATTCCACTTTTCTTGAAAATGACAGCATTCCAGCTTCATTGACAGCATTCCATTCCAACTTACCCTCCGTCCTCATGAAGATGACCAACTCGTCTGCCTCGCCAACCTGGTCTGAAATGAATAAATAAAAAACATAAAAGGAATCCCCGTGTTCACGAAATTAATAACCACATTTCAAGTGATCATCTGTAATGTGGTAGAGACGTACCGTATAGCACTAACAAAAAAATTGTGCGCAAAGGCAACCAGAAATTATATATATTTTTTTAGACGGACGCAGTCTTTTTTCGTTAAATGAAACGAACGAGTTGATAATTTGTTGGGAGAAAAAAATCCATATTTTGTTGAAAACCACGGGGATGCATCTTAATTGGTACCATTGTCCCATATGGTCGCCGAGCCGGACCGGCTATACTTGAAGACCGGGAAGGGGCCGTCCGTCTCCCAATCACAGTCGCCTGCCGCGGCCACCATCAGCAGCCAGCCGTTGGCGTTGCGGCAGTCCACGGCACTACGGCTCATCATGAAGCGGTGATTGTTGTGCCTGACCAGACCAAAATGAAAATTAACTCAAATAACCAACGAGTAAAAATATTTGCAATGGCACGATATGAGTGTACAATCAGAAAAAGTATAATTTAGACAAATTATAATTGAAACGCATATTTCGGTGTATCTCTTTAATGTACAATTTGTAAGATATTGTGCCATTCTTTGGTCTTTTCTGTATCGCATTCGGTACCAAAATTATCCCGTGAAAAGTGGTACAAACGAATATGAAGACTCAAAGATTAAGAGACACAATGCATCCAACTTGACAGTGTGAAAATGACACCAAATTATTTTAGTTGTAAGTTTCCCAAAGAATTTATTAAGTACGTACTCGACTCTGACATCAAGGAGGTCGGACCTGGAGGCGTTCAGGTCCTGATAGGGGCTGGAGACAATCCTTTCCGCGTCAAACCATGAAGTCTTGTCAATGCCAGAGCCGTCAAAGACGACCCGTAAGACCTCCACCCCTGCCTCGTACAGAGACAGGCGAACCTAGAGACATAAATCAATGCCACTTCAATTAGTACCTTTATGAGTCCATGGAAATACAGAGGGCGCTACATGGAGTAGCTGGTCCACAGTGGGCCTTTTGACCAATCCGGGCACGCTATCACTTCTATCACGGAGGGCCACTTTGATGGCAAAAGCATTGTTCTGGCTGCCTTCGACATTTATTTTTTTATCCTCATACAATGTTTTATGGACCATAACGGTCCGACCGGCGAACGTGACCGTGCAAGCTTAATTCCAATGGTAAAGGAATTACTTTCCAAATGGAGATGAACAGTTCGTAAGAATCTGAACACATTGTTAATGCATTAGTCAAACATAATTATGAAATAAACTGACAAAGCTGCATCAATTGAGTCATCTGAATAACTACAAAACCGAGAGAATAACCGTACGACTCTCTTGAGCTAGTTATTAGGTGTATTTCGATGGAAAGGTGATTGCAACGGCGGGACTTCTGGAGTCTGGACGCACCGACCGTTAAAATTGCAATCAACCAACTTTTGCCTATACACATATTCACTGTATCGGAGCAACACTGAACTTCTAAAAAGCTAGTTCAAATCAGCACACTTAAATTAGTCAGCACACTTAAATTAGTCGACACACATTTAATGACTGACAAGGATAGGGACATATAAGGACGCAAAGAATTTAAAAAGAGAAAACAAATATGAGTGAGTCTGCGTTTTACTGTAATGAAAATTACCTCAGCAATGTTGAGGGAGTTCCATTCCTTGACCAGGGCGCTCTTGAAGTGGCCGCGGTAGCCCGTGCCGACCCGGGAGGCCTCCGGTTTGTGCTCGTTCCACTCCCTCTCGCCCGTCCACAGCTCGTAGGGATCGGGATAAGCCAGGCCGCTGATGGCCTTGAAGACCATCACCCAATGACCTCTCTCTGTAACCAGAAAAGCCATTTTTAGAAAATGAGGGCGCTGTTTACACCACCATTTTTTTTTAGGGTGACACAGAATGTGAAGCCCGCTTTATCGACGTAACTTTAAATGTTAAATGAGAATTGAAGGTTTGCATGGTGGACAGATGAGAGGTTTTCTCCTGATGACGAACAGAGCATACTGTTCGAAACGTCGAGTTAAACCAACAGGTTCTCTTCAGAACCACATTAACCCTAAAAGGGCCGGGGCGGAATCCGCCCCCCCCCCCCCTCAACTTTTTCCGCGATAGCCTTGAATTTTTTTGTTCGCGACCCGAGCTAATATGACTGATTAGCCTCGAGCCTTGCGTATCTTTTGATACCAAAAACATAAAAATCGGACTACGAGTTGCCGCGCAGCGACAAATTTTCCGGCGCTACGCGCCGTGAAAACTTTCCCATATGGGTCATTCCATGTCAGACCAACGCACTTTTTTACCTCATGTCTTCCGATTTTGATAAAAATTGCTGTGCTTGTAGGTCCTAATGAGCAATGAATACACACCAATTTTTAGCCCGATCCGACCTATTAGGTGGTCAGGGCAGAATCCACAAAAAAATGGCATTTTTAGAGTAAAATACCACCCTTTTGGTATAAATATGTCAAAACTATGGCAATTTTCATCGAATATATGTGAATTTGTTATAAAAATAATGAGGATTGCATGCTCAAAGCACATCTTTTGTCAAAATTAAATTTTGTGAAAAGTAGGTCACATGACCTTTAATATGCTATCGTGACCTTTGACCCATTTTTTGTAATAATGTATCATTCCGAAAATCAACGAAATAAAAATTACTTGCTAGAGCATGTCTTCCTCTATCAGAATCTACTAAAAATCAGTTGGGGTCTTCAAAATTTACAACTTTATGACTATTTTTGTACAGTTGGTAGGTTACAAATGAGTCAATTTATAGACTTTACATAAGAAATACACCAACACAACTTACTATTCTGTTTCTAAAGTTACTAAAATATATCTTGGTTTGTGAATTTCTCATTCTGAGGGCTGATGAGGTCTAACCAGACTCATAGTGTAAATTATCAGCAGTGGCGCACCCAGGATTTGGCTTTTGGTGGGGGGGGGGGGGTCATAAATCGTTTTTTGTTCAAATTTCTGTAAAAGATTGGACCAACAAAAACTAGCCTAAAATCAAACAAACAAATTGACAATGTTGGGGTGGGTTCAAGCCCCCCCCCCCCTCCTTGGTGCCACTGATAATTAGTTATCCCACGAGCGCGCTTGGAATATGAAATAATGCAATGCTGCTGTGACCCATATGCCACTCAATGCACTACCAATTTTATAACCAATTTATCTTCAAGCAAACTTGATATCAAATGCGTACACGCGGTGAAGATGTACGTGCATACATGTAGTGTATTGGTCCGTTCTGCAGGAAATAACACAACATATGTACACGTACATTTTTTATATCTGGGGTGCAATATAGCTGTGCAATATTATATAAAATCACACAGTTGTTGCTATAGATGGACTAATCAGGGTCTAGGATTCAAGTTTGCTTGAAGATAATACTTAATATTACAATCGAAGTTACCTTTACTCATTCATCACTGTGCTTTTTGAACTTTAATGACTCTCACAGACTTGGCATTTTGTTCCTTTGAGATGAATTTCACCTGGACGTGAGTCCGCTGTACTGGGTGAAGGCCTGGTTACTGTTAGTGGTTAGCACACTTCTGAGTCCAGATATTCTGATTAGACAGTTTCTTTGGAATCAGAAGGTAGAATTTTGTTTTTCCTGGCTTTGTACTTTATACATAAAAATCTAGATTAATTTTAGTAACTTAAGAAACAGAATAGTAAGTTGTATTGGTGTATTTCTTATGTAAAGTCTATAAATTGACTCATCTGTAACCTACCAACTGTACAAAAGTAGTCATAAAGTTGTATATTTTGAAGACCCCAACTGATATTTAGTAGATTCTGATAGAGGAAGACATGCTCTAGCAAGTTATTTTTATTTCGTTGATTTTCAGAATGATACATTATTACAAAAATTGGGTCAAAGGTCACGATAGCATATTAAAGGTCACGTGACCTACTTTTCACAAAATTTAATTTTGACAAAAGAAGTGATTTGAGCATGCAATCCTCATTATTTTAATACCAAATTCACATATATTCGATGAAAATTGCCATAGTTTTGACATATTTATACCAAAAGGGTGGTATTTTACTCTAAAAATGCCATTTTTTTTGGCTTCTGCCCTGACCACATGGTAGGTCGGATCGGGCTAAAAATTGGTGTGTATTCATGGCTCATTAGGACCTACAAGCACAGCAATTTTTATTAAAATCGGAAAACATGAGGTAAAAAAGTGCGTTGGTCTGACATGGAATGACCCATATACGTCGTGTACACAGAGCACAATTACCATTCGTACATATGAATAATTAAATAGCCATAATTCAACAACCCTTTGTCCTATAGTCATGAAATATCCTGGGTATGTTCATGATGAGATGCTTCACGCATGTACCGAGTTTTAAAAAAATTCGTCACTCGATGGCCGAGATCTGGGGGGGGGGGCGGAATCCCCCTCCCCCCGGCTGAGAGATGGTCAAAATAACCCGGCCCTTTTAGGGTTCGGATGCCATTTTCACTGACTAGTTTTTGGAGAAATTTTGGAGAAATTAAAGGATATCTACTTCCACAACTTTATTTGGGACACCCTGTTTACAAATCTTAACCTTGTGATGTGAAATGCACATTGCCCACATAGTGTGCCCGATGAAATGAACCACGCAAAATGGTGATTTAACAAGTAATTAACTTTTCCGTGCCAAATAATTGTGGCATTTCTGATGGTACGTCCCATTTATATCAGCCTACCCGTACCTGTGCAGTATGCCGCTGGCCTGACGCAGCGGGGCAGCGCCGGCAGATGGTAGATGTAGTAATCACCACAGTTGCGTACAATCATCTGGACTCGCTCGTTGCAGCATCCCTCTTCCTCTGCACAAAATACAGTCATTTTAAGACCAAAGAAGTTTAAAGGTAATATGCATTTGCTTTTGATATTATTTTCAGAAAAGGATGGATCGGGGGTTAGTATTTTATAGGAAAATTGTTGCGCTGACCAGTTTGGAGTGCTGTGGCCTCGAGGTTATATAAGGGCATTGGATTCGTGGTCTGTGGATAAAGCTGTAGGTTGTGGGTTCGAGTCCAGCCGGGGTCATATGGTGCGTGTGCCCTTGGGCAAGGCACTTTGTCGCCCATTGCTTCTCTCCACCCAGGAGTAAATGGGTAACTGTGAGGGAACTGTTCAATAGTACGTGTGGTTAATTTATTTGCTTTGCGCTGAAATGGCAGCATCCAGCTGTATACTCCCCAGGGAGTTGAGATGGTATTTGGAATGTTTCATTGGCCCAATTAAATGAGCAGGGGTAATTATTATGTAGCACTTTGAGCACAAGATCTGGTGGATACGTGCGCTTTATATATACACAGTACACTATTATTATTTATAGATTTGTGTTCATAGATGCTGGAAAAACCAACACAAAATGCTGTTCTTTTTAAACCCAACGGTGGTCGGCCGACCATCGTTGGGATTAATAAAAAAAAAATCCATTTTTTTCATGGACAGACTAGAAATGGAAGTCTACAAAACGTATGTGGAAAGGTTCCAGCCATTAAAAAAAAAGGCAACGAAATTGCATTGACAAACGTATTCAGCATTCCAGAAAACTAACACTGATATTATGAATGAGCTTTACCCTTTTTTTACGATGTCTGTGTCCCCTGTGTGACCCGGAATGTCGAACAGGCCGTTTTTGTGAGTTCCATAAATTGACCTCATTTTTTTTGTAAAACTCTCATCCCGAAGGCATTGTACGATTCCCCGTCCCCTCACAATATAGCCAGGTTTCGGTCTAATCGAAGCCATTCGCCATTCCCTTTACATCTGGCATTTCGAGTCATAAAGCGATAGCGTTTGAGTTCAGGTTTGGCCCCGTTTACGACTCTAGGCCGGGGTTGGAATCCCAAAGGATTTTGGAGAATTAAAAAAACGAAATTTGTAAATCAAATTTCATAAAGGCCGTGACCCACATTGCTTTGCAGATGTTTAGAATCAATCACTCGTGTGATTACAAAACAAACTCCAGCATTGCCACTGCGTGGGATTAAATTTCACCTTTGAAATAATAGCTTGTACTTAACTTGCAACTTAAAAAAATATTTTTTTCCCGTTTTGTTGATTGTTATTTCGGATAAGAAGGGGGGCTAAATGGGTTTTAACAATACAGGAAGAGTAAAAACAAAGGAAGTTAATGAAGTTCTGCATGTAAGCACTATCAAAATCTAGGATATGAAAGCCAATAATAAGCTTTCCGTTAGTACAAGAATCATTCAAATCACTCAATGTACTTTGCAAGTTACAGAATTTTAAACACAAACACCGTTTGAAAGTTGTTTTCGTTTTGCTGAAAGAACACACACCTTTGTTGTGATCCGTGGACAGAACTTTAAAAGGCTGGTTGTATTTTAAAATTCCGTTACTTGAAAAATTCATAAGTGATTTGAATGATTCTTATACAAAAAGAAAGTTTATTAATTGGGCTTTTATATCCTAGATTTTGAAAGTGCTACATGTAGCACTTTATTAAGAAAATAGTCCTACCATTTGGGTTTCCTTTTTTTTTTAAGTCACCCTCTAATGGTGCGCTTCCGGACCCCTTAAATATTTTTCCAATTTGCTCATATTAATATGAAATATGATACTGCATGTTGTCTCGATAAGATCGTAACAGTTTGATTTCAAAAATCGTGTTTTCGTAACTCACGCCGTGCTCGCGCTGCTACGAATTGACTCTGTTTTTACCCCAGACACCGCATACAAAAACAAACGCTAATGTGTAACGCATATCCAGGCACCAGACTGTTGCTCATTTGCATACGTGTGCAAAAATCTTGCACATGCAAATGATCCAATACCAGGGTGAGAGATCAGGTAGTGGTGGGCGCGTACTGCTCGACACCCTGGGGACGAGGTTGGGTGGGGTCTGTATGCTCAAAGACAAAATGGCATACTTAAATTTTCAGGCTATAGCCGCGCATCAAAATGCACGGGGGGGGGGGGGGGAGACACGACCAAGCCGTTTACTCAGTGATGACGTTTTGACCATCGTTCGATTAGAAACGCTTTCATGTGCTTTTTTGTGAGTAGGCGTAACTTACGTCACGAATCAACCATTAGTCGACTATAATGGTCTTGAATTGAACTTTCTCCAAGTTTTTAAAAAGCTTGACCCAATATACTGACCCGTGTTGATACAGCCTTCCACCACGGAACTGCTTCGATCGGCCGGCAGATGCCCGCTCATCCATACCGGGTAGCGAGTCCCACACAGCCCCATGGCCACGCACTCCGTCGGCATCCTTGTGCCTTCAAATTGGGAGCAGATGGAAACATAATACTGACTTCGGATAGCATGAATCAAGTTCAGTAATTTTTTTTATTGATGAGTGGAATAAGATGCTCTTATAAGATATACTTCATTGGTGTTTCAATTTGATTAGGAAAAAAATATTATTCGGGTCACTTTCTGTTTCACCCTGTGGAGACCAAATAAGGTCTTGTTTTGTGAAGATTTTGTCTTTGTCACCAGATGTTGTTATAAATTTGAACAAAACTCAACCTCTTACCCGGTGTTTCGGTGAATCTGTACCAACCCTCGGGCAGGGAATGGTCGTTCAGAAGCTGGTTGGGCTCGAGGTGGATGGAGTTGAAGCCGACACTGCGTCTTGCATCGTCCAAGACGGTGTAATGCGTGGCATTGCAGGCATCGTCCACAGCTACAGAGACAACGGGGAAGAAGGTTGCGTGGTTGGAAACATATTTTCTCTCCAGTAAACGAGACTATAGGCCTACAGTTATCTAGTCGAGCCGGATCCGAAAGTCTCCGTTTTTGGGTGATGATTATATTCACTGTGTCGGTCAGTCAGTCAGTCTTAAGTCAGTCGTTTTGATTAAGTCAGTCGCTCACTTATCAGACAGGGTGGGTCAAAAAAGCGGAACCCAAACCCCCAAAAACATATTTCATATTTAAAAAGACTTGTAGCACCAAACATAATAATGACTGAAAAGCCAATTTCATATGCTACTTTTAAATGAAAAAAAAATACTGGTATTGCTCAATCCATTCAAAGAATATCACCATTTAAACGCAGTGACCCTAAAAACCTGTTTCGTCCAAAAAAAAAAACCTTGAGCAGTTTATTGTGGGTTCTGACTGTTTGGTACACCAAAGAAAATGTCACAGAATACATGTTTCAAAAGTACACAAACACTTTATTAACAACCCTGGTTTATAGGTAAACAATTTGATTTATACAACCCACTTTTTTTTTAAAGACGGGACTTAAAAAGGACTTTGTTGAACATTTTTAACTTTTAAAGTGAGGTTTTATTGCTGGTGATGTTTGAAGACAATTGTGACCACGATTCTCGAAATAGCATTTTTGGACGAAAAAAGGTTTTAGGGTCATTGTGTTTAAATGGTGATATTGTTTGAACGGATTGAGCAATTTCAGTATTTATTGTCATCTAAAAGTAGCTTATGAAATTGGCTTTCCAGTCATTATTATGTTCGGTGCTACATTTCATTTAAAATATGAAATATAATTTTTGGAGTTTGGGTTCCGCTTTTTTTGACTCACCCTGTTCGAATCATGTGCGGATGCCCATGGTCCTAAAATCGCATGAAATCGGTATAAAAACTATATAGAATTGTGCGGAAAAGTTTGTATCTGGGAAAGTTGTGATCACAAACTCAATTCCCCGTCTAAGCCCGTATAGGGTGCACCCATTTTTAAAGGGGGGCACCTAAGGCAACTGATATTTTGTTTTTGTGCAATGAAGGATTTTAGATGGGGGTGGGGGTACCCGGGGGGCACGGAATTCCCAGGGGGGACGCGCTCCTCGTGCCCCACCCAGTTACGCCACTGCTTGGTATCTCTTTGGTTGTCGTGAACTACCATGATAAAATACATCCACCACATTACACGATTCTCCGCTAATGTTAAGACTTTCAATTCAAGTCACATTGATGACAGGGGTATTTTTTTCTTGAGGGAGGGGGGGGGGTTCGCCTAATCACCTTTTCTAAAGACTGATAGTTATCATTTTATAAAATGGCTGTCAGACTTTCCCGAGTTCATAATTAACGGCTTTCAAATTGATCCCATGCTGCAGGCGGGGATTGTACTGACCGTCTCGCGAGCTTTCGCCCGGCTGATCGATGGCTTCCTGCCCCGTCGAGCCGTAGCACATCGCGGCGACCGTCAACAAGTAGACAAACAAGCCCATCATGTCTTGTTATGCTGCAATGATAACAAAAAAAAGAGAAAAAAGACAACATAAATGTTATAAATTAGCAACGCTGCACAAGAGTGTGAAGTGCAGCCTGTATGTTATCAATTCATGGAGTGTGCGCACCATGAATTGATGGGTTTATAAGCTGATCATACTCGGGTTATTTTTTAACACACTTACACTATAGAGCAACAATTCGTGGTTCAAACTTTGATATTTTGATTCATCAACAACTTAGCAGAAACTTGATTAATTTCTTAAATGTTTACATTCTTAACCGAGTATTATTCCCCCTTAGAATTTTACTCACCACAGTCGATCGATAAAAATAAGTTAAAATCCTCGAAAAATAAACTGCTCCAGCTAGTTTTCAAACTATACAATCTGGTCCACACTAATATACTGCGCTGACAATTCTTAGTTCAAACTTCAGCATTTTAATTCATCAACAACTTAGCCGCAACTTGATTGACTCTTAATTATACGTTTACCATACAAAATGTTTACATTTTACCCAGTATAACTCCCCCATAGAATGTGTTTACTCACCAGAGTCGAATGATGAAAGTACGATAAAATACCTTATTCCTCGAACAATAATACTCCAGCTGGTCTTCAAACTAATACAAAATAATCCCTGTATAACTAAAATCCGAAACACCTGTTGAACGCGCTGATCTGAAAACCGCAGCGCTCAATGCCACAACTTTACAACCTCGTCATTGGTCAGGCGGATCACGTGATCTAAAATCTGACTTAAACTCTGGCGAACTTTTGGTTGTCCCAATTTAAGTTCGCGAATTCAGCCGGGGCCAAGGCATACTGGGATTTCTCATAATTTACGAGACTGGCGGGCAATTTTGTTTTGTTTTTGTTTTCGTGTCATTTTTTTTTTTGGGGGGGGGGTGTTACTAGAATGACCTTGATATTTTGGGGACGCTTTCCGAGTACGGCCTGATTACTGGCCAATTTCGATAAACGTATTACATGTAGCTATAATTTACGATCCCATTGGTCGAAATATATGGACCAAAGACAACTTTAATTTACAGCGTTATAGCCGTGCTATTCCTTCACGTTTTGAGCGCTTTAACCCGTGTGTTTCAGAATTGGTCTACGAGAATGGATGATGGAAGTATTACGTGCGCCTGCACCATCATGATTTCTCTAAAAATCCAACAATATGAGCTTGAGGATGGAAATTCATTAAGTACCCAGATGTCCATAACTGGGCCAAGTGCGCCTAATTAACATCCGAAACATGCACCAATTAAGCAACCACAGCTGATTTTCCGCACAAACGTTTACGGATTTCTACTTCGAACAAGACAAACAATTCTGCTGGACGTGTTCATTGCCACAGTAACGAGTTGTTACGGGAACCTTCCTGTGCCATCCATCCGCATTTCATCGTTATCGAAATATAATAACGAGAAGGGCGGAAAACTATTACATAATGTATTTGTTTATCTGTTTTCTCGGAAACTGTGCAGGTTTGTCGTAATGCCTTGATAATCAGTCTACTAGTAGGATAGATGTTCAACTTAACTTTTTACGCGCCTTGTACACGGTATATACCTTAATTCCACCAGTGGCGTAAATCCGGGGGGGGGGGGTCGGATAATCACCCTCCTTTTTGACCAAGGGGATGGGCTATTGGATCATTCCAATCCCAACCCCACTTTTTCGTGATGAGAAACAAAAATGCAGATTTTGAGGTATTTTTCGAACTTCCGAACAACCAATGCATTCCATAGCACTGAAAAACGGAGAAAAAATACAAAAGCTTTACATGCACCGTTTTGCTGATATTTGTATCATGAACAGCGCCCACTAGTATAATGTGGTGTCCAGCTCCCCCTCCCCCTTCCCCCCGCAACGCGTGGAGTAGTTTAACCCTAAAAGGGCCGGGGCGGAATCCAACCCCCCCCCCCCTCAACATTTGCCGCGATAGCCTCTAAAAAAAAATATTTTCGCAACCCCAGCTGTTATGACTTTTTAGCCTCGATCTTTGCGCATCTTTTGATGCCAAAAACTTAAAAATCGGACCACGGGTTGCCGCGTAGCGAAAAATTTTCCGGCGCTACGCGCCGTGAAAACTGAATTTTCCCATAATTATACGTCGTCTACACCACGCAGAATTGCCATTCGTACATATGAATAATTAATTAGCCATAATTCCGAAACCTATTAACCTACAGTCATGAAATTTCTTGAGTATGTTTAGGAAGAGTTGCTACATGCATGTACTGAGTTTCAAAATTTGTCGTCACTCAATGGCCGCCCCCCCCCCCTCCGGCTGAGAGATGGTCAAAATAACCAAAAATAAAAGCAACTAGAAAAAAAATGCCGCATTCTGTCGGTGTCCCACATTGGCATTCACAATGCGAGGTCTCACGCCGAAACGAGCAAACTTCGTAATTGGGGCAATAACCGAGACCTGAACCGGTGCATTAAAAGCTTTATTTTTGGTGAGTAGAGAGTATCTATTTTGGAAGCTTTTAGTCCCAGTTTGGAGAAAGTCACTAAAAGGCAGGTTACTAGCCTATACCTGACGTGTTTTTGCTGAACAAGGAGACGTATACCCACAAACGCACTGCAAACGTGCAACGCAGCAATTATACGAAGCCACGCTGTCCTCCTGAGCACTGAACTTGCTTCAAGATGACCTTATATCTTCAACACTTGCAGATGTGTCTAGTTCTCCTTCCTTACAAATCTTCATCTCGTATGTTGTATTGTGAAAGGAAAAAGTTACTTTGTTTCTATACTGATTGTCTCCAACCCTTTGAGATAAAAACTCTCTTATGGATGTTTTTTGCACGCAAACAGATCCCTGTGAGTAGACTGGTTCCCGTTCCCTACATTATCAATTCCGATAGTGGGCGCGAACCAGTCAATCCGGTGTATAACCTAGCTGAGTTTGTATTAGTTCCTATTTCGAAATTTATAAAGTCATCACATGCATAATTATTCAAACGTACGTACGTGATCCGATTTTTTTACCCACCGGTTGAAACTCGTAACTAGGCCTACATTATTATTAATTTTTTAACAAAAGAACAATCTTAAAGGTCATAAAATAAAAATCACAAACACTCACACGAAAGTAGCCGAAATATCCACGCCTCTGAAATATGAAAATAGTTTGACCTTTTTACAGTGTTATATTGTCGGTGGAATTCATTTTTGCAAAACGCATTTTCACTATTAAACGTATATGCCTATTCCTGACAGTGAGGGCGCTGTTATGTTCTCGCTTTCCGTACACAACTCAGTTAAACCTGCAGGATTCTATGTTAAAAGGGGAAAATCTATCATGTAGCAAAATAGATGCATTAGGCCAAAAAAAAAATCTCTGGTTTCTGGTATGCGCGCGCGTCGCCGTAACAGAGCCATGCGCGTCAGCAAAATGAAAAAAAAAAAATTTCAATGAAAGATGATGTCTCAAAACCGCCAAACTCACTGGTTTGACTGGAATCCTGCTGCTGCACAATTTTAACGTGTTTTTGGATGGGGTTATGATCGAGAATAAGCTTTATGTGGCCTCTCTGGACTCACATATATTTCCACTAAGTTTAGTCGGGCACCATTTGCAGTCATCAGCCGACATTTGAGGCAACAAAAATCAGGTAAAAAAAAAAGCCGCGTCGCCGCACCACTTTTTGGGCAAGCTCCATACCAGAAACCGGAGTCTTTTTTGGGGGGCCTTATAGTGTACTTGATGTTTTTGGAAGGAAAAGAAGAAGAAGAAGAAGAAGAACATGAAAAACAGACAAAACAGACAGCCAAAAAACACAATCAATCAAATTTTTAAGCAACATTGCAACATTAATGCATCTCTAAGTTGACACCAGAGTTTTGCTCATAAAATATAGAAATTAAAATAGGTACAACCATCCTTTAATATCCTGAAAACCCTTGCAAATGACAAGACAAAGAGTGAAAATGGATGCGAAGGGAAAACAAACATGGATCTCATTGATATCCTATTAAGAAAAACAAAAACAAAATTGAAAAGCATGGAAAGGCATAACTGGATGAATATTGTTCAGTGAAAAAAATAACCGTGTGTCAGTGCATATGAAGATGAAATAAAGCAAATATGAATTTTGCGGGGCCTTGGACACACGAAGCCGTCTTTCGTTCAGGTCTGTATTCATCGATCAGCACCACTCAATTGGAAAGGTAATGAGTTTTGCCTCCCACGAATTAGACGGGGGTTTAACATTACAACGGGGTTAATGACACGGACAAAATTAGACCAGTGAGCGTGACGGTCGTCTGTCTTCGACCGGTATACAGGACCTCGACCGTCACTGGCCCAACTTTTGAACGATTGTAAATGTTGAAGTAAAGTGGTCTGTTTTGTTAACGTACGACGCCATTTTCTGGGTGGAAATTCTAGTAAAACCCCATTCCTTGAAGCAGTTTATATCGTATTCGTAACCGTTCTTGAAACTGATAATAATAATAATAATTATAAGATTGTCAATTACGATCTGTTGGATTAATTACATTGTGTGTATCCATGGCCGTCCAAGCTCGAGGAAAACCTCGAGGTATCGTCTATATAATTACGAATGTTCACCTATTATGTAAACTAACGTCATTAACCTTCGAGTCACGTTTGATCCCCCCCCCCCAGGATCCAGGATCATTAAAGGGGATGCATGAGGTTTTGAAGTCCCAGGTTTTTTTTTTTTCAAGAAGTGGTTGAGATGGTGAAATAAATGCATACAGACTTTTCATTTTTAGGAAGACAAAAGTAGGGATGAAAAAGTCAATTTCGAAAAGTCTGAAAATGGGATGAACAGTCTGTAAAAAAAAATGCATTTCATTCTATACTGACAAAAGTCTGACAAATCTCGGAGCCAAGTCTCCTGTATAACGTCTGATATGTCTAAACATGCAGATTTAAACGATCTTGCGCCTCGGCCAATCAGAGCCTACTTTACTAAATCGTGACGTCATTTCATTCCCAAATTTGGACTTAAACTGTGATTGGATCATTCGAATCATTGTAACACAACAACAGCCGGGCGCTTGTCGAGTAACATAAACACAGCAAGGGCGGATCCATGTGACATCGCAATAAAGGCAGGCAATGAGTACACCACCATCTTTTCCTCAAAAAAACACTGGTTAAAGTGGTCAGAAATTGCCTCAGATCGCACCACAGAGCATCTAGAATCCAAAAAAATTTCGGGGCCCTTATTAAAGCGGGCCCCGAACCCACTTGACCCACTTTTTTGGGGGACCAACATTTTTTGGGCCCCCAAAATTGTGTTCTGGATCTGCCCTTGAAATACAGAGCGTGTGACCACAGCCTTTTTTATCCATGTCTATGACGCGACAACGGTGAATGACCGAAGACCCTATTTAATAAGCGCCCACTGATTGGTCAAAATATAGAGGTCATGCAAGATGCAGTTGTCTTGCATAATTAATCAGCGAATCTACCAAAATGTAAAATGTAGACCATGGCGATAGACTATAAAGCCTACCCCATGCCATGTAATGAATCGGGATTTGCAATATTCTATGACGTTATTATGTCACATGCAAAGCCACTGAAAATGAGCACGGTTCTGATCTGTGGGATAGAAATCATTTTTCACCGCATCGTGTCATTCGGCAGTGGAGGAACCACGCGTTGGTTGGACAATGCCGGCAGGACACAATTATTTTTTTGGAGGGGCGGGGAGGGGGTAGTTTTGTTCTCGAATGAACCAAAAATTCCGCCCAAATTTAAGATATGAAAGCAAGAAGCTTTCAAACGTATTGCTTTGGTTGAGTTTGTAGGTGGTGTACGCAGTGTAAATATTCAAGAATAAAAAAAAAAG